TTGCGTTTAACAAACAAAATGAATTATTTATATGCTTATGGATGACTGTGCGTACAAGTTACCCTATCCACGATAGTGAAAGTGAATGCAAAGAATGAGGAGGCTCATCTCTCATTCTCGCGTTGTAAATGCTCTGTTTCTCGCTAGTGAAGCGTTCAGATTTTCCACTTACAAAGTTCATCATGTAAATAGCAAATGTGCTATGGCGCGACACAACTGACTCTTAAAGGAAATGGGAGATGAGACTTTGATTGGTTTATTCTCAAAACACACCTATAATGAAAGAATAAGCTCAACCCTGTTAGACCATGCGCCACGGCACAAAGTGGATTTTTTCGTCCTTAAAATAGCAAAAATGGATTCTGACATACCCTTAATGTGTTTGCACCCTGTGCTTTGCACTTTGAGCATGGATCGTAAAAAAATAGAGCCCTGAATTTTGGTCACCTGAAGTCACAACCTAAATCTAACCTAATATTAATGTGTAATGACGTTATGTGCCTGCTGGACGATAACTAAATGCACTACATGTTATATGAAATGTACAATGTTACGTGTACACACATCCATAAATTACATGTAAGTGCATCAGCGTTTTATAACATAATACTCTCTACTCACTACTTTTGAAAGGGCTACTTTAAACTCATACTTTGAGTAATATTTACAACAGGTACTTTTATTCTACTTACACTACATTTTTAGACAAGTAATGGTATTCTAACTCAAGTATGATTTTTCAGGACCCTTTCCACCACTGCCAACAGTACATAATGGTTAATTGGACAATACTATCATTTATCGCAATAAATTGTGGTGCAATATATTGTACAAAAAAAAAAATTGGTATCATGACAGGCCTAAACAGAAGTGAATCATTTATTTGAATGATTTACCCTGACATGTTTACCGTTCCAAAATATCTTAAATGTTTCTTAAATTAAAATATATTGAATTTAATGGGGAAAAAGTAGCTGTTTTCTTGCCAGACACTTAACAAAAACATATTTTAGAACAGTAAATCGCAATACCGTGAAACCATGATGTTTTTATACAAGGATATCATACCATTAGAATCTTATACCGGCCCATGCCTAGTGTAGAACACAATACTCAATAGATACAAAATTCTCAATACTAAAGTCCCAACACAAGGTCAAATAATTAGATCTGGAAATGTTTGACTTTTGAGTTCGGACCCTACTGAAACCTCAATTCAGTATTTAGGATTTTCTGCCAGTATTTCACGCATCAGAAACAGTGACCTGCTCTGTCTGTCACTGGCGCCAAATCCTGTTTCTGTTTCAACAACCGAATAATTCACACATAAGATAAAATCAACAGATGCACACATAGCCATTTTCCTCTAGCTTTACATAGTGGTTTTCACAGATGAATTTAACATTTAATCCGAATCCAATTTCTTGCCGGTCGAGCAGTGCATCTCTAATTCATAACAAAATGCCACAGTTGTGTTTTCTTTTAAGTACATTTTGTTCAGGACGAAACCAAATGCAGGAATGTGACAGATCTGGCCACCCACTCTGGAAAAGTAGGTGGCCACAAAAAGTTGACACATTTGGGCAAACCACCACCCATGTGGATCTCAGGAGGACCTGCGTCTGGATTTTAGCTGTTTTAGGTGTGAACTTGGTGTGGTAGAAACTTTTGTGACTGTTATGAGGTGTGTGTCAAATGATGCATCCAGAATTGCGCAGTCACAAACGTTTCAGGTTGTCGCATCAACAAGTTAATCTTTCAGACATAAACAATAGCAGGCCATACTAAGTATTATTAGAGAAATAGTTCAATGAGAATTAAACTTCTGTCATCATTTACTCATCCTGATGCTGGTCCAAACCCATATGACTATTTCTTTATGCTGATTTTTTTCCTTTACAGTAATTGTGCATTGGGATAAACAATGTTGAGGTAAAAAAAAAATCCACAAGTGGCAAGCACCATATTAGTAGAAATTGTACTAGTAGTCTGTTTGTGCTATATTTTAACTATTTGATAACTTTATGTAAAATTGACAGCTAAATTTATTTATTAGAAATAGCTTTCAATCCTTATTGAATAAATGAATGAATAAATTAAATCCTTCACTCAACTGTCATTTACACATTTGCTTTTGCATGATATTCTTCAGAAATTGTTACATTTGTCTACCATTTTGCTTAAAAAAACTAAGAATAAACTAATTTTGCTTTTTTAACTACTTTTGATGTTTTTTTTCCTTAACTGAAACATAAAATACATTAATTACTATACACAGTTATTCAAGTATTTCCCAAGTGATGTTTAACAAAGCAAAGAATTTTTAGAATGCTTTGCACACACACACACACACACACACACACACACACACACACACACACACACACACACACACACACACACACACACACACACACACACACACACACACACACACACACACACACACACACACACACAAACACACAAACACAAACACAAACACACACATATATATTTATTCATTTCTAATTACTGGTTTATTTTATCTTTGCCATGATGACAGTAAATAATTTTTAAGCTTCAATACAGCTTAAAGAGACATTTAAAGGCTTAACTAGGTTAATTAGGTTAACTAGGCAGGTTAGAGTAATGAGGTAAGTTATTGTATAACGATGGTTTGTTCTGTAGAGTATTGGAAAAAAATAGCTTAAAGGGGCTAATAATTTTTACCTTAAAATGTTATATTTTAATTAAGAACTTCTTTTATTCTAGCCGAAACAAAACAAATAAGACTTTCTCCAGAAGAAAAAATATTAATCAGATATACTGTGAAAATTTCCTTGCTCTGTTAAACAATCAAAGGGGGCTAATAATTCAGACTTTAACTTATATAACTTATATATATATATATATATATATATATATATATATATATATATATATATATATATATATATATTAACTTATATATATATATATTTATGCTTTTATTTTCAAGAATTATAATTATTTTATTTTGGCTGAAATAAAGAAAAATATTATAAAAAATAAAAAAACTGCAAAGATATTCAATTGGCTTTTTTTTTTACTATATTCATAAAATGCTCAATAAATGTATCAAAAGTTAGTAAATTTATGGTCCCACTTTGTTAATTGTACTTACCGGTAACAACTATGTAGTTACATTGAAATTTAAATACAATGTACTTTTTTTTTTTTTTAGCGTATTGAGGTTGGATATGTGTAAGATTAGGGACAGGTATGGTGGAATGGGAAGGTTTAAGTGTGGGTTAAGGTGTAATGGATTGTCAACAGTGTAATTATAGATGTAATAACAGAATTAATTACAGATGTATTTACATGTAAAAACAGTACATAGTAACAAATTATTCATTCTAATGTATGTACATATTAGTTAAGGCCACTTAATATAAAGTAGAACCAAATATATGTATAAAATTATAAATAATGCATTTTGAAACACCTACTGTATATCTTTTGAACATTCAAAGAATCTTGTATAACGTTTCCACAAAAACATGAAACAGCAGAAAGGTGTTTTCAATATTGACAAAAAGAAACTCTTAAGTACCAGATCATAATATTAGAATGATTTATGATGGATCATGTGACAATGAAGACTACAATAGTCAAATTTACTAGTTTGCTACAAAAATTATTTTTTTTTTTTAGTTTTAAACTGGTATAAAGTTGATCAAATCAAGGCAACCTTGAAGAGCAACCTCAACTGTAAGCCTGCAGTGGAGCCGGAGGTGCAGCTCTAGTGGAGATCAGCTATTACAGCAGGAATGAGTCAGGCTCATATCTACCTCCATCTCTCTCTTTGTCACACACCCTAGTCTGTCCCTCCCTTTGTTTTTCTCAATATTATCTCTCTACATCTTTCTGCCTGTCCTCTCTTGCAGTGTTCTCCCTCTCTTCACATAAGCTCCTTCCTCATTAGCCCTTCCAATTGATCATTTTATCAATATTATGTTTTGATAATTACAAAAACCTCAATTTACATCACTACTGCTCATACTTCTAACAAAGTCAATTATTACATTTCATCATATTATTAATCATGTGCATTAAGCATGACTTATATCTTAATACAAAGTAATTAGCAGGCAACCATTAAGAAAGGCCTAGATAAAATTATACTATAACTATTGAACACTCTGATTAACATAATTCTGCTTTTTTTTTCAGGAAGAAAAACAGGTTTAACCGCAAGGACAGATGGCCCAAGGATAGAGCCCTGAGGGACACTGCAAGTCATGGGATTTCTAGACACTGATGTGAAGCAATGTTTTCAAGAAATTCATCATCAGCCTTTTCCACTTGATCTAGCAAGAATTTATCCAGCAACCATCAAAAATGACCAATCTGTCACCCATCAACAACACTAGCAACCATTTCTAATGATAACCATATACACCTTTTGGTCTTAACCATTCTGTTTGTCTCCTGTTTCTTCTTATCCCTCCGGTAATTGTTCATTTCCTTATCCATATCCATTGTCTTAATTCTGATCATCATGTGTGTGAGGAAATGCCTAAGAAAAATTCTGCCTGCGCCTATTCTAGAGAAAACGTCAATGGCATCTAAAGCCAGTGATTCACAGGAGAAGTGTCACCACATAAGCCCTCTATCTCCTCAGGCTTCCTTCCGCTCTCACAGCTCTTATGTCTGCACATTCGACACAGATGGAGAAACTTCTGTCGATATATTCAGATATCTCACTATTCAAAGTCACAAAGGAACGACAGCCATACAGGAAATAACCAACCAGCATTCTGCGTCATAAATTCTGTAAGATCTTTAATAACAAACCTTGTGTCAAAGTCTATTCAACTTATCTAAAAGGTGTTTCCATGTAATGTCAGCACAATTTTTTTATTGGATATGACTTGATTAAGAGTATTAAAGAATGTTTTTCCCTTCTAATAATAGATACAAGGTTACCATTCCTTTTAAAAAGGTAGAGGTTTTTGAGACAGACTTTCACAACTGACCTGGCAACGGCTGAATATGTCTGCTGGAGTAAGGTGAACGTGAAAATGTTGGAGAACACGCACGGCCTGGTCTCGTGCCTTTTCTGAACAGTCCAGAGTCAGGCAGCGGCCCTCTCCAACCTGTGAGCGTAACTTAACACACAGAAACACAATTTAATATACAATTTACACATACACAACATACACAATTTCATATTTTAAAGCATAATAGGCACACAACCTATGTAGGCAGTAATCTGCAAGAAAGCTCACAGAGGTAGCAGGAGTCTTAACGTTTCAAACACACTTACTGATTGGTAGGGCTGGCCAGCAGTAAGGATGACACGACCTTCAGCACGAGCCAGCTGGAGAAAAAAAAATACAACATAACATGAATGCAAAGACTTTTTAAGAATATATTAGGAAATTCTAAATAATAATAATAAAAATAATAATAATAATGATAAGGGGATTTAGCTATTTAGCTTTAGAATGAGATTGACTTGATTGCTAAACTAATTACTATACAAAAGTACTATATTTTATAACTTGGGAATTCACCTTTTTCCATGTATAACAATATATATATAACAACTTCTGTTTTGTCTTTAATAAATTGTATAGACGAATTACCAACCTACATGACACATGTCGACACACGGGTTCCCAATTGCAAAAAAAACTGGTGGCAATAGTAAACATGTCATGCTGTGCAGTAGGATGCCAAATTCGAAAGTCCAAAAATGGAAAACTTTACATTTATCGTACACCTCTCTGCTTTTAATGCCGTCTGCAGACGTCTTTGACTAAGAGGGGCTGAGTGAAGTGCCCACCTAATTAGAAATGCTGGACTCTGCAGTTCTCATGTTATTTCAGTTCATGCTATGCTGAATCATACACATTACTCATTTTTGATTGCAGCAATGATTTTAGCAAAAACAGTTTAATATGGTAAATTTAACTGCGGACACTGCTAAGAATGACACGTGAAAGTGTAAGTTAGTAATGTAAAGTTGGTTTTAAATTCACACATTCATTCAGTAACAACTTGTGACACACTCCCTATATTAATTAACATGGCACTTTGAATACTCGGTCTGAAATAACCTGCAAGTGTGACTTGAAAACAACATTAACACTGTTTATTTGACTGTGAACAATGTTGTACTTTGATAGTCATTGGCTGCTAATATGATTTTGCTATTTAGAGTTTGCAAATAATATTTTTTTATGGAATTATATTATTAAGGAGAAAGTCTAAATGTCCAAATTTAAAAGCAACTTTACCTCTATGTAAGTTCACATGCCCTGTCATAAGTTCAGGTATAGTTCGCTGTCAGAATGCAGTAGTTTTGCTTGTTGATGATTACCCAGGCCTTGTATAACATTAGCTCTGTCTTTTTTCCTTGTCTTTGGCTAGGTAGTACCTCGGTTTTTAGCACTACATAGTTTTGAATCTGGTAATCATGGAACATTATTTCTTGCACATGACCATACAGGTCTCTTTTTATATTGACTCACTTATATCTGTGAACTTACATGGTAACTAGATGTGTAAGTAGTATGTAACTACAGTGTATGTACTAACTGGTACATAGTATTTACCTGGGTAATACTGGTGTAACTACACACATGTAACAACCCACTGAAAAGTATGTGTAAGTTCAAATGTATGTGTAACAGGACATTGGTAACAACACTAAGTACACATCTGTAACAAGAACTATGTAAGTGCATTGCGTAACAACAATATTTACTTGCAGGTGTTTTCCCACACCTGTTTGCATACCATGTTCTTGTAAACATTGTATAGCAGAACAAATGCAGCATTGGGTTTCATCTTGTGATAACAGTGTACTTACATGGTAACTCCAGAGGAAATGAAAATCGGGTTTACATCAGAACTCAACGTCAGCCCGATGTCAATGTCTCAACGTTACCACTATGACATCTATCTGACGTTGAATTTTGGTTGCCATAACTGATGATTAAATGTAATTATTTGAAGTCAATAAGATGTTGGTTTAAGATGTTGGCTCAACATTGGATTTTGGTCACTTTCTAACAACCTAAAATCAACCAAATATCAATGTCATTTGATGTCATTATTGGACATCAAAATAATGTTGTCCTTAGACGCTGGCTAGACATTGAATTTTGGTCACCTGACATCACAAACTAAATCTAACCTAATATTAACATCTTATGACATTGTGTGCCTGTTGGGCAATAGCTAAATGCACTACAGAATGTTACGTTTACACACATCCACAAATTACATGTAAATGCATCAACTTTTAACAGCGTAATACTCACTACTCGCTAATCAGGAGTACTTTTAAAAGGGCTACTTTTTACTCCTACTTTGAGTAATATTTACAACAGGTACTTTTACTCTACTCACACTACATTTTTAGGCAAGTAATGGTACTTTTACTTAAGTATGCTTTTTCAGTACTCTTTGCACCACTGCTGAGAAGTAACTATGTCAGTACACTGTTAATAATGTGTTGGGTTAGGATTTATAATATACAGTAGTTTGTGACCATTTTGGAAGGACACTTTAAAAAAAATAAAAAAGTTACACTTTATTTACACACAGTATTTACAGTTCCTGAAGAGTTTCCATGCAAGTACACTGTTGTTAACCAGTTGCACAGAGGATTATGTTTTATATATTACACAGTAATTTGTGACTTTTTTACACTTTATATTGAGTGGAGAATTCCTGTGGAGTTACCATGTATGTACACTGGTATCACAAGGTGAAACCTTCTAATGCAGCATTAATTCAGCCATACAGTACATTGCTCACAAGAACATGGTATGCAAACAGGTGTGGGAGTGGGAAAACCTGCACGTTCATATTGTTGTTACGCAATGCACTTACATAATTCTTGTAACAGATGTGTACTTTCTTAGTGTTTTTACCAATGTCCTGTTACACATTTGAACTTACACATACTATTCAGTGGGCTGTTACATGTGTGTAGTTACACCAGTATTATACACGTAAATACTATGTTCCAGTGTGTACATACACTGTAGTTACATACTACTTACACATCTAGTTACCATGTAAGTTCACAGATATAAGTGACTAAAGTGGGACCAACATGGTCAATAAAATTGTATATATTTTTTGCAGATTTTTGTTATTTTTGAAAATTTTTATCTTACATATAAATTTGGGCTACTAATTTTGGAACCATTATTGTAAGTTATTTTGTTAGATTAGCTCCAGATTTGACTTCAGTATTGAAAAAACTAATGTATATGCACAAATATTATATTGTAAAGCATCCTACATAAAATGTTCATTTAGATAAGAGATTTGTGAGAAGCGTACTCATATATGCTGACCATTGTAGATTAAGGTGCCAAGTAGGGATGTAACAATTCACCCGACTCACAATTCAATACAAATTACAATGTAATCTCACGATATGATTTAGTCATAATGTTTTTACACAATTAAAAAAATTAAGGTAAAGAGACCTATTTTTTCTGCCATAACTAAATTTCTATTTTAAAAACAAACTACAAAAGAAAAAAATAATAATACAAACTAAAGAAGACTCATTAATATAAACAAAATAAAACTGTGACTGTGCTGGGATTTTACAATTTTTTTTAAAGAAATATCAGCATATCTATGTGTTCTTATGTAAGCTGAGGTATTTGAACATTTACAATGTCCGCTGCTGAAAAAATATCTGTAACTGAGAACTGAGATGGCTGTTGAAGAAAGGAAAGCCTTTCCTAAACCAGAGAGCAGTGTGTACAGAGGTGGTCTGCTTCAGGGGACTGGCCACTGGCATAAAATACTGATTATAAAATTACTAATTATATAGTAGGATAGAGACAAGAGTTGAACATGATTATGAAGGTGAATAATTAAAATGACTTGTATAATTAATTAGTGTAAGTATCAGCGTGACACACTTAAAAAGTGATAATCTAGAACATTTTTAAATATTTAATAATAATAAGCAAATGATTAAAATATGCATAAACTATTTTGAAAAGGAGAGGGTAAAAATAATATAATACCTGCTTCTGTAACAAAACACCTGAAAAACATCTTCACACTTTCGCTATGAAAACACTGACGCACCATATGACCTCCTGAGCACTTGTTGGAGCAAGCGGAACTGCAAATCATCTGCTCTGCGTGGTTTGGCTTATTAATTTTTTATTTTTTGTGTAGACGTCTGTGACAGTAGTTTTTCACTGTGCTAATGGTTTATGTGCATCATATTTGTTGTTCTGTGCAAGTAAATGTCTTTTTATCGTATTTGCAAACAATTTGTGTTTTGTCTGAATTCACCGGCTCACAGTGAATCGCTACTGTCTAGCCTTAAAAGACATATCTCTTATTTGACATCATTTGGCTTAATAAGAGCATGTAAGTGCTAAACAGAAAAGGTCTAAGTACCGAGCCCTGCAGGACACCACATGCCCTGAAGGTTCACTTAGATTTTTGTCTCACTTTTTTGTTTTAATTTAAATTTACTTAATACAGTCATATTAAATATTAAAAATAGTTGACTAACCTCTGCTGCTACTTTATGGTCATCTGTGTTTTCCAGCATTTTGACATCCACTCCAAGACAACGCAAAAAACGACCCAGACCCTGCAGCATGTTGTCACATACAACTCGCAGCTCTGGCGGCTTGATGGTGGGCCCTTGATATTCTGAATTCACCTTAAAGTCATTATCCACAGAGTGCGGCTCATTCACCTTCTGCCAACCCTAAAGATAAAACACACTCCATCTTCAAGGTGAAGTTGACATTATTTTGACATTTAGCAGGCGCATGCAGTAGAAAACAATTCACACTGTAGCGGTGAGAGTTGTGCGTGCCTTTCAGTGCAATGTAAACAAAAGATTGTATTATTAAAATCATTATGTATGTATCTGAAAGCATAAATAGCCCTGTGATAAATTATACATAAAGTATTTTCCCAATACTAAGGAAGGGCATTTGCTGCATAAAACATAATTTTTTATTACGTTTATTCCGCTGTGGCGAACCCTGATAAATCAGGGATTAAGCCGAAGAAAAATTAACGAATGAATACGTAAAATATGTAACAGCTTTAAATGTCAAATTATAAAATGAATAGAAAAAAATATTGCATACATTTTATATATGATACTCCCTCTATTTTCTGCATTACACAAACTCCACATGCTCTCATCAGCTAGTTTTATATTGAAATTTATGACAGTAACTATGACAACAGAGTCATTTTCTGGTCTACAGGCTCATAAACAGCACAGTCAGAGGCTCACAGACCCATAAACTGACCTCTCTTCTTTTAAACTGCTTCTTGTCTTTGGGCTTTTTCTCCTCTTGGCTCTTGGGCTTCTGGGCTGTGGGAATAGAGCGAAGATCCTCTGGCAATCCAAAAGCCTTGGGATCTCGAGAGAGGATGAGGTAGATGTCTAGCAAACAGTATGCATCTGCAGCTAAGATACACAAAAGAAAGACAATGAGAGAAAGATTAAACATATCATGCCACCATCTAGAACATGAATTGTGGGTTACCAGCATAGCGGAGTTGGCTGGTCCGCAGCGGCCGGCGCTCCCAGTTGGACAGTTGCTCGGATTTGTTGAGTGGTTTTCCCAACACCTGCTGTACTAGCAGACTTAGGCCCTTCTCAGCAGGTCCCTCACTCACTTCCACAGACCTGCACCCTTTGTTGCCCAACCAGCACCGCTGAAGCTGGAGAGACAAAGGTCAAAAGTAGACAGAATCTACACAAGTTCCAACATCAGGTAATGATCTCTAAATATTTCTGCTTAATCAGAATTTAAATAGATATTAGCAGCAGCACCTCCTGATGAATGAGGAGCAAGTCCAAAACTCCTTCCATTTTCATGGGCTCCTCCCTGAGATCAGGCCACGTGCTGACCAGACTCCGCAAGTCTCCAGACATCCCATAGCCTAAATACACACATACACAATCTAGCAATGCTACCCAAAGTGGAAATTTCTATTTGAATATCTTTTCTGGCAGTTTACCGATGGAAGCCTCATGAAACCCAAAGTATACCTTGTATTTCTGTCAGACTGTATTCATACTTGGTAGCTTTGATTTGATAAAAAAACTAATATGTTCCCTGTCAAAAAGGTACACATAACAGCCTAATTTCATATGCTGCCAACACCCCTTATATTAAAGGGTTAGTTCACCAAAAAATTCAATTCTGCTGTTAGTTACTCTTCAAGTTGTTTCAAACCCCAGAGACCTTCGTTCATCTTCAGAACACAAATGAAGATATATTTGATGAAATCTGAGAGCTCTCTTATCCTCCAAAGACAGAAAGTCGAGCAAAGACCAAAAGCACCAGGGTTTGGTATCAAAACCCAGTGCCATTATGGCACCAGTACCTATGTAACCAGTATGCACAGGACCGAATCAGCATATGAATTTTGGTGCATAATTTCAGTGCCAATTTCAGTTCGTGAGAAGCATCAAGGGGTACATCAACGGCACACATGGGTACACATTGTGTCATACCAAAGACAATAGAATGCTTAAAGGGACTTTGATCACACCATCTCTAAACATTTAGCTGTGAACTGTTATAACGGATTTCATGTGACTTTTACATAATCTTTAAGCAACATGCATCATCATTCTGTGCTGCAAACATCCTCCACTCCTCAGCATCATAGTAGAATGGCACACAAGGCGATTACAGTATTACAGAAAGTTGGTTGTTCATGTTGAAAAAGATTTTAAAGGCAAAACTGGTGCTTGTTAACTAATCTGGTTAACGATTGAGGCACAGGTTGATCGCAAAGCCAAAGAGCGTTGTGGGAGTTGCGAGTGGGGATCTGTGTGCAAAGGAGGGGGAACTTTCTCTCTGAGAGAAAAAAGGGCAGGTGCTTAAGCACCCAACACCCCTGCACGTGTCTGTTTTTTATAACGAAGTAAAATTTGAAATTTCTTCAAACGGAGATCAACCAACTCCTCCTACACAGTTCAGTCTGCGGCTGCTCATAAACCCTTGATGAGTTTACTACACCGTGGTCAGAAAGACTCACACCTTGGTTGTCATAAATCATAAATTATCAGTGTTTTCAATCACAAGAGACTTATTTTAGGTCTCAAATTCTGAAATACACATTAGTAGTAGCAGAACAACCCTTTACAGTTCATGAAATACACCTCGGTTGTCTGTGAAAGGGGAAATAATCATATAGGCATGATCCGACAACGTGCTTACTCATGCAGTATACACATTGTGTGCATAGACGAGTCAGTTGAGGACCATGCTCTGTTTGCACTGCAAATCTAATATTGGCCACATTGATAAGAGCAGTGTGAACAGCCATGCAAAAAAAATCTGATCTGGAAAAAAAAATCAGATTTGAGCCTCACAGTGTGAACTTAGCTTTAGTTCTGAACAACCTTTTAACAGCACTTTTCATTTTTGAGGGAACTCTAATAATGCAACCCCAAAAATAACAAAACAAATCAATAACAGGACAGGATGTCACATGATGCAACCAAAACATTGTAGCAATGATGATGATGAAGATGAAAAGTCTTTTTTTGTCACATACACTTTTACATGCAGTGAAATAAGACCCCCCTGACCAATGATGCCAATCATACATTTTACGCGTAACTTAGCATTCACACACACACAAAACACTTTATGCCTTCAATTAAGATTATTTCTCCTACCCAGCTTGAGAATTTTTTTGTCGGACAACAGAGCCCTAATGAAGTCCACGGTGGTGCTGTGGTGGCTGATGGCGTGAGCACAAAGGTCCAGCAGAAACACCTGATCCTGTACAGCCAGCTGGATCAGAGCCACGCGCTGAGACGACACTGTGCCAAAACCGGCCCTCCACTCCATGTCCATTCCAACCACACTGCCCGACTGAGAAATAATGACATATTGAGACAAATAGTGGAAACCAGAATGCATCTGTATCTGCTAACATAAAGTCGCATTCAATCTCGTTTGTTTGATCACATGGTTGCACTGCATTAACATATCGAAGACATAGGGATTAAAAACAACATCGGAGAGTATCGAAAATGTTCAATTGACTTTTTGAACAAAAAAACGTATCAATGTGCAATATAGCGGTCTTGGGTGATTTGGGTAGATTTGTATTGTCCAAAGATGTGTGTTGTAATGATTTAGATTTTGACATCAATCTGATTGTTATTTTAACCAGTTATTTTCAGCTTCTCAACATCAACTGCCCAATGGGTTTTGCTTATACCCCCATGATCACTGCTTTGTAGCATGTCACGTCACAATTTCAACTACAGAAAAACAAAAATCATTACCAGTGTTGGGAAAATTTATGTTTAAATGTAATATATTATAATCTTGAGTCAGTTTTTTTAAATAACTTTTTAAGAAAACTAATATGAAAGTACGTGTTCTGTTGTTTTTGCATACATTCTTTAAAGATTAAAATAGAAATACGATTTTTTACATTAAAAGTAACTTTACCCAACACTGATCATAACATAGCTTATTAAATAAATAATATTAAAGGTACAGTAGTAGTAGTGTTACCTTTAAAACAGCTTCTCTGCACTTGTCAACCTCCTCTAGTGTCTCTACAAAGTGGACGTTCTCTCTGGGCAGAGGCAGCTGGTAGTATTTCTCCTGATCAGACTGTAGAGGCGCCCAGGACTCTGGTGGACCGCTAACAGAACCCAACTCTCTATGATAGAAATACACTTGTCAGGGTGTGTGTGTGTGTGTGTACAGATTTGGCTGTTCTTGGAAGGCAAAATACTTTCACAAATACTAAAAGGTAAGAAAACAGTTATGTTTAGGGCACAAAAATGAACACTTGTCACACACCAAATAAAAATTAAAATTGTCAGAGTCGCTGAGTATTAGAAACCGTGTTACTCGACAGTTTGATGAAACATTTTTTTACAATGCATAAAAACTATGCATGGTTTAGTAGGATTGTCAATCTTCAAAGACTAATACAATATATAATTATAATATTAATACTAATATACACTCACCGGACACTTTATAAGGTACACCTCACTAGTACCGGGTTGCCTTCGTGGCATAGATTCAACAAGGTAATAGAAATATTCCTCTAAGATTTTAGTCCATATTGACATGATAGCATCATGCAGTTGCAACAGATTTGTCAGTAGCACATCCATGATGCGAATCTCCAGTTCCATCACATCCCAAAGGTGCTCTATTGGATTGAGATCTGGGGACTGTGGAGGTCATTTGAGTACAGTGAACTGATTGTCATGTTCAAGAAACCAGTCTGAGATGATTCCCGCTTTATGATGTGAAGCGTTATCCTGCTGGAAGTAGCCATCAGAAGATGGGTACACTGTGGTCATAAGGAGATGGACATGGTCAGCAACAATACTCAGGTAGGCTGTGGCATTGATACGATGCTCAATTGGTACTAATGGGCCAAAAGTGTGCCAAAAAATATCCCCCAAATTATCATACCACCACCACCAGCCTGAACTATTGATGGAAGGCAGGATGGATCCATGCTTTCATGGTGTTGATGCCAAATTCTGACCATACTAACCGAATGTCGCAGCAGAAAACCAGACTCAAACCATGCAACATCTTTCCAATTTTCTATAGTCCAATTTTGGTGAGCCTGTGCAAATTTTAGCCTCAGTTCCTGTTGTCAGGTGACAGGAGTGGTGCCCGGTGTGGTCTTCTGCTGCTGTATCCCATCTGCCTCAAGGTTCGACATGTTGTGCGTTCAGAAATGCTCTTCTGCATACTTCGGTTGTGAGTGGTTATTTGAGTTACTGATGCCTTTCTATCAGCTTGGACCAGTCTGGCCATTCTCCTTTGACCTTTGGCATCAACAGGGCAATTGGGCATACAGAACTGCCGCTCCCTGGATATCTTCTCTTTTTCTGACCATTCTCTGCAAACCCTAGAGATAGTTGTGCGTGAAAATTCCAGTAGATCAGCAGTTTCTGAAATATGCTCTTTCGGCATCAACAACCATGCCATGTTCAAAGTCGTTTAAATCACCTTTCTTCCTCATTCTGATGCTCTGTTTGAACTGAAGTAGATCGTCTTGATCATGTCTACATGCCTAAATGCATTAAGTTGCTGCATTGTGATAGACTGAATAGAAATTTGAGCTAATAGGCAGTTGGACAGGTGTACCTAATAATGTGGCCAGTGAGTGTATATCATTTTTACTATTATGATTAAATTATTTATATTTATTTTTAATATGTATGTAAAAAAAAATATATATATATTTAATTAAACTGTGATTGTTTAACACAATCAGTGTTAATATATAAATACATACACACAAATACACTTGCATGTGTAAGTGTTTTCAGTGGTTCAGTTTAGTTGAATTTATTGTAAATGATCCACACAATCTCTACATGTGATGAATGTTTGAAAGCAGAAAAGAAAATAAAGATGTATGGATAAAAAGTACATTTAAAGCCATTACTGTGTGTGGTATTATTTGGGTGTTAAAGTAGTTATAATACGGTGTCTTTACAAACATAATTTAGTGTGTATAATGTGTGTGTGTGTGTGTGTGTATAATATGTGTGTGTGTGTGTGTGTGTGTGTGTGTGTGTGTGTGTGTGTGTGTGTGTGTGTGTGTGTGTGTGTGTGTGTGTTTTAGTACGTACAACTGCTGGGGAGAGAGGCTCTGAATTTTGTCCCAGACTCCAATGGGAAGCCTGTTTCTGGGTAGTTTGTAATGTGCAGACCACTGAGCAGCAGCCTTAAGACTGCAGTGTTTGACCAGCAGCTGAACCAGCTGAACCTGCAGCTCCAAATCACCTTCAATCATGGCCTACAATCAAACACACACACGCACGCACACACACTCATTTAAATCCCCATAATATTGCTTCAGTGGTGAATCAGAGGAGTATTATTGTACCTGCACATGGTCTCTCCAGTTCTCTTCTGACATGCCTTTCTGTCAGACAAAGACAATAAATCAGACGCTTGTAAAAAACTGTCAGACAGTATACAATTTTTGCAATGCATTTCACTGCTATAACAATGTATTTTTGAGGACACAATATATTCAGCAGTAAATATATAGGGCTCTATTTTAACAAACTAAATCTAAAGCACAAAAACAATATGCATGTGTCTGAATCCACTTTTGCTATTTTAAGGATGGAAAAATATGCTCTGAGCCCTGGCGCATGGTCTAACAGGGTTGTGCTTATTCTCTTAAGTTCTGGGTGTGTTTTGAGCATAACTTGCATTAAATCAATGAGTCTCATCTCTCATTCCCTTTAAGAGTCAGGTGCATAGTGCTATGCAGCATTTACTATTTACATGGCGGACTTTGTAAGTGAAAAAACTGAGTGGAAAAACTGAACGCTCCACTAACGAAAAAACTGTAAAAAACTTTACTCTACTTTACTCCTTTACTTTCGTGAATAAGGAAACACAAGACATCCATAAGCCTACACAATTAATCTTGTTTGTTAAGTTAAAAAAAAAATTGTTACAAAACAATTTCTGAATTCAGTTCTAATTTCTAGCAAACGAATAAATGAACAATAACATCAAAGTATGGTCAAAAAATTTAGTTATATCCAAACACTAGGGATGTAACGGTATTGTAAATACCGTCATACCGCAATATAATTTTTTTTCGATATTACCGAAGTCGCATGACTCGATAAAACTATAGGTCTTCTGAGAAAATTTGCTCAGGCGAATGAAGCGAACGGGAGGTAGCTTAAACTACATTTCCCATCAGCCCAGGCGTGGCCATAATCCTTTGCGGTCTGTTGTCGCTACAGATCCAGTAATGCGGAAATGGAGTGTGCTGCTAGTAGCGGAGATGAAAAAAAGATGGAAATGATCGAACCTAAAGCGGGTGTTGTCGCCGCGTACTGAATAGCAGTGTTGTCGCGCGCGTTCTGATCAGCTGTGTTGTCGCGCGCGTATTGTAAAGCGCCGAGGGGGGGTTGAGCGCGCATACTCAAGAGCGGTGTTGTCTACTGAAGGGCTGGACGGAGGTTGTGTCGCGTCGCAGGGGCACTTTTGATCGTTTTGGAAGGGCATTTTCTATCCAAGACTAAAAAGGGCATGTGCACTGCACAGGTTGAGCCCTATGTGTGCACATGCCTGCAAGTTGGGGAATACGACTAATAGCAGTCATGGGGACTGCAGAAACACAGCACACTGTTCAGATTGATGCAGACATTGACTTGTACCGCAAAGAGATCTCTATCTCACTCATGGTTTGTCTTCTCAAGTGGAGGAAAGACAATGCACGTTACCCACTGCTGTCAACATGGGCCAAGCCATATCTCTGTCCCAGAATCCTCAGTCCCAAATGAGAGGGCTTTTTTCTGTTGCAGGGGACATTGTAAATACCCAGAGATACCAGCTTTTACCAGATTATAGTTATATGATAATTTTCCTTTAAACCTATCTCTATCTAAGTAAGTGAGTGAGTGATTAAATGTTGAATGTGATGAGTTTTCAACAATACTTAATTGAAACTTTATTTTTTTTACATGGTTTAATAATTTTTTGTTATTAAAATTGAAGTTCCTGTTTCAAAGCTTACAAATAGATGGCTAATTTGTATGTCATTGACACTTTTGGCACTTTTTTGGAGTATTTTTATTAGTTTTGTTTTTCCTGTAAATGGTTCAATAAATACCGTACCGTGACATTCATACCGAGGTATTACCGTACCGTGAAATTCTGATACCGTTACATCCCTACCAAACACACATCCTATTCTTACGCCCCAAATGGTGATGCATACGTCTTCAAAACCCGACAGATGGACAAATATAAACTTGTTTCTATTGCAACAAATATAAATATGCATATAATAAATAATACTGCTGATAGTTAACAACATTATACAAATGCAAATTGTCATTAATAAACTGAAAAAAGTTCAGTATATTGAACTGAAGATGAAGAAGGTATGGACGTAGTGGTTTTTATATTTATGTAGAAAATAATAATTTTTGTAACATTTTAATCCTTTATTTGTTTTCATATATAAAGATATTTGTGTATTGCTGTACACCCTGTGTGTATTAAGCATGTGTGAGCATTTGGAACTGCATAGGAGCATAACTGACGCACTCTGCACTGCACTTTAGAGCAGTCTATTTCAGTTCCTCAAAATACCAATGCACCAACAATGCACCTTAACACCTCCTTTATAGACTAGCACATCCATGAGTCAAGTGGTGCAAATGGATTTGCTATTTAAACAATGTGGCGCAAAACATGAAAATTAAGGTTGTGCTGGTCTAAAAATAGCAACAAATTGCACCAAACATGTCTAGTTGTGCCTTTTTGTGCCGTGTGTGTATTAGGGCCCATAATAAGGCTAAAATGCATTTTATTCATTTGGATGTCATCTGTTAACAAAAGTAAAAAAACAAATGAAGTTTTAGCTAGTTTTGCACGATACATACGGCGGCCAGTGGTTAGCGCGCCGACATATGGTGCAGTAGCACGTCAGGGCGTCGTGAGTTCGAATCCCGGCTCGAGGACATTTCCCTACCCTACCCTCTCTCTCCCACTTCACTCTCTGTCTCAATACTGTCCTATCTAATAAAGGCAAAAAGGCCAAAAAAAAAATCTTAAAAAACAACAACAAAAAAATCGATCCAATTCAAAACAAAATTAGTCTGATATCTTTGAGCCGATAAATTACATAATTGTACAGAACTTCCTGCCTCGCTCATGCGTGGGTGAAACTTGTTCAGATTTGTCCTGTGCACTATAATGGAGCTTTCCTCACATTGTTTGTTCCTTCAAAGTCCGCCCTTTCTTCATGTGGTACTGCTGTGCGACAATAACTCAGTAGGTAACCATTTTCCTTATCATTGTAGATATATTTGATTGAGTGTCATTGTGTATTTTGGTTTAAATCACCTCAGGAAAAATATTACATGTGTAAACAAAATAGCAGAGATGCACATTTGCTAAACAACTTGTTGGGCTGTTTTTAATCTAATATGATTATTTGTTATTATCAACGTGTTGCTTGCCATGTGTTGTTGATTTAGGATTCAGTTTGATCGGAATATTCATATTGATAATAACGAGCGCACGTGAGGGTTATCACCACACACACAGACACACACACACACATCTGATCTGACAGCCTTCACAGCAGCACGGGAGAGAGGTGCGCCAGTCACTAAATCCAGCATAGGGGTTCTCAACTCACCGCCACAATCTGTCTTTATATTTTGCTCTGTGTTTGTTAAAAAGTCATCTGTGCTTAACGCTCAGGTGGGGTTTCAAAATCTGCCTCTGAGGACAAATCTGCACCTGCAGTTGAGTGAAACTCATAGAGTTTTTTTTTTTTTTTTTTTTACTTTTCTGGGATAGTTTTTCCTGCAATTGACAGCACAGAAGCGTTATCTGATTGACAAGCAGCAGCTACTGTACATGTGTACAAAAGAATCTACAACACCAAACAGGATGAATCTATGCTGCATTTTCAAAAGTAAAATGTACTATCTGTATTTAGCTTTTTGCTTGTACAGTGGCTCTGAACTGTCAAAACACCTCTAAAAATGGCTTTTTTGGACATTACATTTGAACATATGTACATTATTGTAACACGTTTTGTTCAAGAACATTTAAGCTGGTTTTAGTCCTTAGCTCTTTCATTTTATTTAACATATATTCAACTCGCTTGTTGATTTAATCCCATTTTGTTATTTAACCTATTATTTTTATATAACAGTCAAGTTGCATGTTAATTTGCTATGAAGAAAAGGAAATAATTAGTTTTTTGCATGCTGATTCATGTGAAATTGTAAATATTGGTCTGTACAGTCACCTTGCAGTTTTGAAATTATAGCTTTTTTGTTTCGAGTACATTCAGTTCATAAGCGCAGAAAGAAAGAAAAAAAATTGAATAGAAGAAAAAAAAATTAAAAAGAAAGAAAAAAGAAGGAAAGTTAGAAAAAATAAATGAATAAAAAGTAAAAAGAATGAATAAAAATAAAAAAGAAAGAAAAAAAAGTTATAGAAAAAAATGAATGGAAAAAAAGCTATAAAAAAAGATTGCCATCCTTTCTAATTGTATTATTCTTATTTTTCATTATTTCCCTTACTTAAAATGTTACTTTAATGTTACCATTAAATCAAAACTGTTCTATAAATTCTATATTTATATAGATTACATTTGAAAAAGTTGTTCACAAAATGAACATGACGTGGAGCAACTGACAAGCAGCGACAAAAACCATAAAAAGGAAGTTACATCATAAAAAGGGCCCTACCTAGATGCGTCAACAAGTTTCTTAAATTATTATTATTATTTTTTTTGTATTTTTATAATTTTATTCTGTAAATTGGGTTGTAATCAGGCTGTAAAAGTGTCACACGCCCAGTGTGCACAATCATTACAGACACAAGAAAAAACACAACTGAATGCAGCACAAGAACTCAATGTGAACAGAGAGAGCAGATTTCATCATGTTTGTGAGCGCTATGATGTAAAAAGGGCGGTGGAAAAAAGGGAAGTTTCTCACCTCCACAAAGGTTTTGTACATGAGAAACCTCAGCGAGTCTGACTTCCTCTTGTAGACTGAATTCGGGCAGAGACCTGAAACACACCCAACGGCACCACGGTTACACAATCACACACATGTTCACACATACACACACAATCACACTCACACACTCACTCACTCACTCACACACTCACTCACTCACTCACTCACTCACACACTCACACACTCACTCACACACTCACTCACTCACACACTCACTCACTCACACACTCACACACTCACACACTCACACACTCACACACTCACACACTCACACACTCACACACTCACACACTCACACACTCACACACTCACACACTCACACACACACACACACACACACACACCTGGGTCGATGTGGAACTTCTCCATGAGCCTGAAGACGTGTTTGCTGAGCAGTTTGGGCTGAATCTGGTCTGAATGATGTTTGGAGAGAACCAGCTGAGGAAACTGACTGAAACACATAACAGCTCACTATCAGCATCACTGATCCAAACACTCATTGCACATCACTACTAATAGTGATAAATTAGTAGTAGAGGTAAATACAAAGACAATCATTTGTTTTATTAATAATTAATGAGGTATATTGGTTAATAAAACTAAGGTAACAATTATTAATTAATTATTATTTTATATTTATTAATGTTATAACAGGGCACACTATTAACAATCATCATCATCACCTTTACACTATTTTGAATTAATAAAAATAAAAAATTAAATAAAATTAAATTAAAATTAAACAGACCACAGTAAAACCATAACTAGTAAGGGAAATCATGTATTGAAAAAAAGATGGATGAATAAATACTGATGGATTTATTAAATACTGCCGAGTGTGTGTGTGTTGACCTGATGAGTGCCTGTGTGCTGAAGTCTGGCCGGCACCAGGAGTCCAGGAGGGATACGAGTCTCTGTTGCAGATCTGGATGATGACGAACATAGAGCTCAGCCAGAGACAGCTTGTCCAGCAGGATGAGAGGAACACACATCTGACAAACATAAAACACACATCAACAAAACAGCACACAAACACACAGAAATAAAACAGTCCAGATGAACAGAGACTCACCTTCTCCATGTCCAGATCTGACTGGAGCTCCATTTTCACACTGAACACCAGCGCCTGACACAAAACACGACATTTATAGCATTCGCTGGTTTTACCAGGACTGCAATACATAATCTATTGGATACATTTATTAAAACATGCATTTAAAACACACAATACTGTCATTGTTTCATTAAATCAATGATACTGTTTATCAGTGTTGCCAGATTTTTTGAATTTGATTGACAAAATTTGCGCAGTTTTGAAACATAAATTTTACATGCAACTTATTTAACAAAACATAACTGTGCTACAACAAACAGATTTAGTTAGTAACAACCAGTGCATAGCACAAACTTCGTGAGCTCACTTGCAAGAGAAGGTGAAGGAAAGTTATATCAAAATCTAACTCCTCTGACAAATCTGACTCCCCTTCGCATGCACGCACATCACACTGCGCCTGCAGTTAAACCGCGGTTAATCGTGACACTTTTATCAATAATTTTTTCCGCAACTGACAGCAAGAATAAACTTGGAAGTGTTGTCTGGTCGATAAGCAGCACCTAATTATATCCAAAAGAATTTTAAACGCCAAATGGGGCGAAACCAAACCCCATTTCAAAGGTAAAACATACTCTTATAATACACAACAATAAGTGCAGTGTGTGGGCAAGAGGCGGCAGTGTTTCGATGTGATATAGTTATGTTGTGGTTCTGTGACTGCTGGTTTTGGTTGCTTTATGGTTAAAAATTATGACAGTTGAAGTAACTAGGTTAATTTTGATTTAAATAAATTAAAATCAAATCAAATATTAACCTCCTAGGGCTTAGTGGCTACATATGTGGACAGCACATTTTAGCTCTTAAGTGGCTATATAAAATACCTTGAATGTTTTATATTTTGTGACAGACAAACAGTGTCATCCTTCAACTGTTTTGCAGCATAAATGTCCCAAACACTATTTTTAACTGTCCAAAATGGGCAAAAAATGTTGTTTTTACTCCTTGATAGTCAGAATATGTTTTAAAAATGTTTATATATTATATATGCTTTTAAAAAAGTGTTTTATGTAAATTCTGACCACGAGTCCACATATATTTATATATATATATATATATATATACATCATTTTTCTCTAAAACTACATCATATTAAACATGATACTTAGGTTTTATTTTAATTAGATTCCAATAAGCCCAAATAGCAAAGAGAAAAAAATGCATGTAAAAAAACACCTTGGGCCTTAAGAGGTTAATCTAATATTTTGTATGGCTGTGCAATTAATCGAAAATCCGATTTCGGCTTCTGATGATTATGAAAAACTATTAATCAAGATAAACGATTATTCTATTATTTAATGCACCTTTTCCAGTAGTAAACATTTGTTGCCCTTAAAAGCACAAACTAAACCGCATGCTCCTGTGTATGCGGCGCGCACACACAGTCAGAAACATGCGGTCAGCATTCGGTTTCATTCGCACACTGTGACGAGCAGAGGGCACACATCTAAAGTCATCTTAATGTGAGCGCTTTAATGGTCAAATAGGTGTCAAAACGTGATGTTTAGTGATTATTCATATTAACCCTCGTTTGTGTAATAAACAAACGAGTTGAGGATCAAAAGAAACATGAAAGTTAAACAAATACCAAAAGGAGAAAATCCCTCACTGCTCTTGACTGAAGGACTTTTGTAGCTTAAGTGTTTTTCTTACAGTGAAGATGCTTAAAGCACAGTTTGTTTCATATTTTTATTCTATTGTATTTACTTCTCTTTCCTTTGCAGGGAGGAAAATAACTGTATACAATTCAAGTCAGAATTATTAGCTCTCCTGAATATTAGCTACCCCTTTCCCCCAGTTTCTGTTTAATGGAAAGAAGATTTTTGTCAACACATTTCTAAACATAATAGTTTAAATAACTCATTTCTGATAACTGATTTATTTTAATCTTTGCTATGATGACAGCACATAATATTTGACTAAATATTTTTCAAAATACAAGCATTCAAATTCAAAGTGTGATTCAAAGGCTTAATTAGGCAAGTCATTGTATAACAGTAGTTTCTGCAGACAATCAAAAATATATATTGCCTAAAGGGGCTAAAAATATTGACCTTAAAATAGGTTTCAAAATATTTAAACCTGCTTTTATTCTAGCCAAAATAAACTTTCTTTTTTGGCTAGACTTTCTCCAGAAGAAAAAATATTACAGGAAATGCTGTTAAAATTCCTTGCTCTGTTAAACATCATTTGGGAAATATTTATAAAAAGAAAAAATTCTCAGAAGCGCTAATAATTTTGACTTCAACAGTAATCGTTTTGAATAATCGTAATTACAATTATGACAAAAATAATCGTGAATATGATTTTTTGTGTGCGTTTGGGCAGGTTTTGGACAGCTTTTGGGCTGGAAAAAGTCAGCTATATCTGGCAACACTGTTGGTGATGATTGATGATAGATTAGTATTATTATTAGTAGTAGTAGTGGTAGTAGTAGTGGTGGTAGTACTACATCATATTGCCTTATATTCCTCTTTTCCACAGTAATGTTTAGGTGCCATATTTCACACATCACCGAGTATAAAATTCAAATTGTATTTGTTTATTTGGCAACAGTATTAACTATTTACTGTAGTAATCATTCTTATTTAGTATATATTTTTTTCATTATTAACAACAACAAAGAAATCATAGAAATTTTTTATTGCTCAATTTTCATTACTTTTCTAGAGTTAACAAGTAATTTAAGGCATCTAAACATTACTGTGGAAAAGATGAATGAATGCTAAATATCACACAATTACAAATGACAACAACAACAACGACAACATAAAAACAACAATAATAATAATGCTTAATAAATATTACTCAAGTTAATAAATAATTAACTAAAATTAGGTTAGCAACAAATTAGCAGCATTATTTACCAGACAGTAATATAAAAAATTGTAACAGTAATCTAAATTAGTAAAAACATATTTACACAAACACGGGGAGAACATGCAAACTCTGTGAGGCGATTGTGCAACCCATTGCGCCACCGTGCTGCCCAGGTTAATCAAAATTTAATCAAATTTAAGCTGATTAATAGCACTGGTTTCCACAAAAAAATAAAAAATAATAAAAATAAATGATTGAATGAATCTGTTAAAAAGTTCAATGGGAAACGATATACAGTTGTTCATATTTTAAAACCATTTCATTAACCAGCTGGATCAAGACTGATCACCCTTGACAATAATAATGCATCAGTTTCTAATCTTTCCTTACTCAAATTGTAACATTGAGATTGTTGCATAAATGTAGGCATCTGCCCCGTATTATTTATGTAATTAAGTTTTATTTTTTTTTTTATTATTATTTTCATTCATTTATTTATTATTATTTTTTTGTATTCATCATTTTTTCTATTATTATTTCTACAAGCATTGTTTGATATGGTGGTAAAATGTAAAAATGTTAAATAAATCATTAACAAAAAAATTTCTTTAAATTTTAATAAGAAAAGCCAATAATAATATTAATAATAACAACAACAACAATAACAGAAACAGACTTGGGCTGGGTCCGAAATTGCATTCTTCCATACTATATAGTATGCCAAAAACAGTTTCCGTATCAACTCACAGCGAGAAGGTCGCTGGTTTGAGCCTCGACTGGGTCAGTTGGCGTTTCTGTGTGGAGTTTGCATGTTCTCCCCGCATTTGCATAGGTTTCCACTGGGTGCTCCGGTTTCCCCCACAGTCCAAAAACGTGTGGTTTAGGTTAATTGGATAAGCTAAATTGTCCGTAGTGTATGAGTGTGAATGGGCGTGTATGGGTGTTTCCCGGAGATGGGTTGCAGCTGGAAGGGCATCCGCTGCATAAAACATATGCTGGATAAGTTGGCGGTTCATTCCGCTGTGGCGACCCCAGTTTAATAAAGGGACTAAGCCGAAAAGAAAATAAATGAATGAATGAATGAATGAATGAATGCATGCATGAATTAATGAATGAATGAAATAAAAACAATCTCAAATGTTGTGCACTTAACAGTATTTTTATATAATCAAGTCCATATTGCAATCCCTAAATCATAAGAAACCCATTAATCAGTCCCTGAGGTGTGTTGTGTGTGTGTGTGTGTGTGTGTGTGTGTGTGTGTGTGTGTGTGTGTGTGTGTGTGTGTGTGTGTTGACCTCTTTAAAGCAGCAGCAGCAGTGCAGGTTGTCCGCGTGCTCCAGCAGCAGTGGGCGCTTCAGTGTCTTCAGCTGATAGACCTCCAGCAGGGGCTCCATGAAGCCGGGCTGAGAGTCGGTGAGGAGCCCGAGGGCCCGGCGCTGTAAACACAGCCTCTCCTCTTCATCCAGCATGTCCAGAGCAGCCTGTGGATTATTGCTCCTCCAGCGCATGAACTCTGAGAGAATCAACTGGCTCAGCGTGCTGGGTTTGGGCTTCTGGACAGTGACACAGCCCTCCAGGATGTCAAGCAGACCAGAGAGAGGCTCCTGCATCTGAGAAAAACTGCCCGCTAAAGCCTGATGTAGCTGAAAGACAGGGAGATGAGCGTTTTATAATAAATAAAATGTAATCAAATAAAAAAATGCACTAAATAATGTTATAATATATAATGAATTAAAGAAAATTAAATATAAAGTAAAATAATTTTTTTAGACTTTACAATAAGGTTTGATTGCTTAAGAACGGTGATTGTCAGCACAGTTAGGCTAAAATTTATTAAAATAAACTGTTTTGTGTTTAATGGTTTATAATAAGAATATAACATTCAGTTAGATCAAATAATTAGAATATTTATATAATAAAGATTATTTTAAAAATCATAAATTTTAATTTCATATAATATATAAACACGCGCACACACACACACACACACACACACACAAACACAAAAACACACAAAATATAAGAATAAAAAATAAATAAATTAAATCAAAACAAATAACAAATTAATAAAATAAAAATAAATAAATAAATAAATGTTATTAAATAAAAATAAATACAAATTTATTAAATTTAATTCAATTAAAAATAAGGAAACAAAATGTGTGGTAAAAAATAAAGTTAACCAACATAATATAAATAAACTTAACAAGTTTTGTATCAATTAATAGTCACAACCCATTTTTGAATGTAAAAAAGAAATCTGTATATCATTTGTTCAAGTTATTTGTATTTCAAGGTATGATTTCATACCATGTATAACATGGTCCATATACCACTTAATAAAACATAGGAAACATGATACTGTTTCTTAAAATTAAATCAAAGTAAATTGTATAAAAGGGAATCATAACACAACTTATAAAAAAACTAATTTAAGTGATGCAAAAATTATTCACTTGCATCAGCTACCAAACCTTAAGTAGTTTCTTTTTCTTCTGAGCCAATAAAAAAGATATTTTGAACAAAGCTAAAAACGTGACAGGTTTTAGATTTCTCTAAATGATTTTCTTTTGTGTTCAACAGCAGAAAAGAAACTCTCTGACAAGACAAAGGTCAGTAAACGATGACAACTGTAGAGTTTTTGTGAACCATCAATTTAAAAAGTAGTATTTATTTTTTGTGAAAGCTAAATTAATGAATACTGCATGTTATACTAATTAACATCTGAAATATTTATAAATTATTACAAATTAATGATGATCAAATTAAATAATAAATTGGATATTCAACATCATTTATAGAAAAGGACAGAAGAATCTCTTATCTGGGTGTTTCCAGGCTCAAAATTAGGCCGGTAAAATGAGGTGATCTCCTAGGCCTTGACATTTTTGCCACTTGAAACAAATTCATTTTGGATGATTCTTAAAATCTTATCAAGTAAAACATGAATTATTTAAAAACGCATTAAATATTAAACAGAATTAAATACATGAATGGTGCTTGAGTATCACTTGTGGTTTTTTCAATAGCCACACTGTAAGAAATCTTGGTTGCCTTAAATTTTAAACCGAATCAAACTAACCTTATGGGTTTATTGAACTTATATTATGTTAAACTGACTTAAAACAGCTTGCATAACCTATAAAATTAAGTTAGAACACGATTAACTGAGTTTAGTAAGTTATAGTGGCCTAAAAACATATGCTGTCAAGACTAATTGATCATATTTTTTTTTACAGTACACGACGGTGATTCAGGTGAAGTGAAGGTGGTACAAAATTCTGCCTCACAATTATCCATGCAGGAAAAACCTCATCCTAAATACTGAGTAGAGGAGAACAGGAATGTTTTGTAGGCCCCTCGTGCACGTCTGTTCCTTCACGTGACCTTCTTTCACCTCTCCTGAGACACTGGGTTCGAGTTTTAAGCACATCTGTTTCTTACCTCGTCCTGCTCTTTCCTGCTCCACAGGCCACAGAGCAGCTCCAGCAGGGCCGGCAGGTCAACACCTTAGGCACAAAACATGACACCAGCTTAGTTTACACGCGCACGCACACACACACACACACACACACACACACACACACACACACACACACACACACACACACACACACACACACACACACACACACACACACACACACACACACAGACCACATCTCTCCACAGATCGCTTTGCACTAGTTAGTGTATTATATTAAGATATTTTGGATTACATAGGATTTAAGTCATAAAAATGTCTTAATAAACTCAAACCGCTTCCCTAAAGACCTTTTACGGTTGCCAAATAAGTGAAATAAATGACCAAACTACCAAATAATACTTGCCATTAGTATAACCACATTCACCATCATAAGGAAGTATAATCACTCTCATAGGAGAATTTTGCTTTCACAATCCAAAATAAATGAAGTTATGCAACATCAGTGCCCAAAAGCTCCAGCCCTTCTGTTACCTGAGCAAAGCTGAGGTCGTTGAGTGCGTGAAATGTCCAACATTCCACACTTCATTTTAATGGTTGAATAAGTGCATCATCCGGGTAATTAATGCACACTTATTATTTTTTGAGTTTTCATTGTGAATGCACTACTTACAATATTTATACTACAAAATGGCGTAGAATAGTGAATAGGTATGCAATTTGGGACGCACCTAGGGCTTTATCCAATAAGTATTTCAATGACTGCCTTATTAAAGGCCTAAAATACAAGTTCCCACTTTGAGACCAGGGTTCTTATATCTTTTCCAAGGTCAAATTTAAGGACTGTTCAAGCACTTTTCAGGAGCAATTTTAACATTTTACAAGCATTATTCAAGTGTGGCAAATTACATATTTACAAACAAAAATATACAGTTATAGTTTACCAATTGATGTTGAAGGTTTGTTTATTATTATTATTAATGGTTTTCCAGGAGATTTTCTCAATATTTTCAATATTTATTTTATTCTGGAGAAAGTCTTATTCATTTTAGTTTAACTGGAATAAAATCTGTTTGTTTTATTTATTTAAGGTCATTATTATTAGGTATATTATTAGCCCTTTTAAGACATTTCTTTTATTGTAAACACTGCAAAAAAAAGACAAAAAGTAAAAACAACAATTGTTTGTTTGTTGCTTTAAATTATTTCAATCAGTTAATAAGGTTTCAACTTAATATTTTTAGGGAGTTTGACTGATGTTGAGTTGAGATGAATAGAAAAGTTAATTTAATACAACAAAATTGAATAAATAACTATTTTTTACAGTGTACAGAACAAACCACTGTTATCCAACGACTTGCCTAGTCAACTTAATTAACCAAGTTAAGTCGTTAAAAGGCACTTCAAGTTAATTTTCTTGCAAAATAAGTAAAAAAAATATTTTGTACTGTCAACATGGAACACAAAATAAAATAGTTATTATAAATGAGTTATTAAAACTAATATGTTTAAAAATGTGTGGGAAAAATATCTGTAAAACAGCACTTGGGAAATATTTTTAAAAAGATTAAAAAATTTCACAGGAGGGTGAATCCTTTTTTTCAAATGTACACATTTCATAACATTATATCAGATGACACTTATTTGTTATAGCGTATAATGTTGTTTATTATTCTATAGTATAAGATAGTATAGTATTACTACTATTATAGTATTATGTTATTATTATTATAAGCGCAGAGGCGCAGAAGGTAATGCTGTCGTCTCACAGCAAGAAGGTCACTCGTTCCAGCCTCGGCTGGGTTAGCTGGTGTTTTTTCAGTGGAGTTTGCATGTTCTCCCTGCATTTGCGTGGGTTTCCTCCAGCTGCTGCGGTTTCCCCAGAGTCCAAAGACATGCGGTACAGGTGAATTGGGTAGGCTAAATTGTCCGTAGTGTATGAGTGTGTGTGGGTGGATGTTTCCTAGAGATGGGTTGCGACTGAAAGGGCATCCGCTGAGTAAAAACGAGCTGGATAAGTTGGCGGTTCATTCCATTGTGGGGACCCCGAATTAATAAAGGGACTAAGCCGAAAAGAAAATGAATGAATGAATATGATTATAGTATTAAACATGGAAATAAAATAATGGTATGTTTTCTTTAAGCCCAGGATTGAATTATTGTCTTTACTCTTATAAATGTCATTTACTCAATCTTTAAATTAGTTTTCATTCATCTCAAATGTATATTTATTTTAATTTCATGCATTACACACTCATAGTAGTAATCTAGTCTCCAATACTTTTGTCTTCTCCACTACTTAACAATAAGGGGGAGATGAATATGCAGACTCCAGACTTTTTATTTTGAGCAAAAGCAAATATGACCTATTTAGAAAAAATTAATGATTATGATAAAAGCAACAAAATTGGATTTTAAAGCAGTTTTAAGCCTTTTATCCAAAAACAAATCATTTTTCAAACACTAGACATTAATTCAAGCATTTTCCATGATTTCCAGCAACCGTACGAACCCTGTGAGCCAAATGTTAAATTTCCTAACTCGTCGCTCCCTTTCACTGTCAAAAAGTTGAACTTTCATGATGTAAAACTGTAATGAATGGCAAAAAACAGACAGCTGTTGTATTGAGCAATGAGCAGACACAAAAGAGCCACAGACAGTATTTTAAGAGGTTCAGGCTGTGACTTGAGATTTTCTCTGAAGTGATCGCCAAATGACAGCGGGGAAAGGAATAACATGGAACTCAAACATTTATATCTGTTTGTTTATTTATTGCCACATCAGCAAACTTACAGCTATTTTATGGCAAGACCAATATACATACTGAGGAACTGGGTATACAGATTCTGATACATGGGAGGAAAGCCTTAGAAGAATTCGATCTTGTTCGTTTAATTCCAGGCATCAGTTAATTCAACTGCATAGACTACATAGATAATGCATAGACTGACACTACTTAAAATTTAATTACACAGAATTTTTCCCACCATTTCCCCTACATGTTCCCCTCTTTTGGACATGTCCAAAACTTTATGATTTCTGGTGTGACATATTTAAATGATTTTCCGACATTGTTTACCTTTACACCCCAAATTGCTATATTTGGGTAGTTCTTTGCTGGATCATAGTTTGTATATACAATGCACCATCATTTATTGAATGATTATTGCTAAAAGTGTCATTCTAAAACTGTGGAAATCAGATTCTGTTCCTCAATTAAGACATAGTTAACTTATTTAGCTCAAATATTGCACATGGAAAGAGTCCGTTATGGAGTTATTGGTATTCTTGCTAAGTTTATAATATATGGCAACCATTTCTTGATGACCTGGACCAATATAATGTGGATTCTAAGCAGCAGTGTAATGCTGAATATGCTCACTACCTCTATTGACTGTCTCATTGTGTTTCATTGAAACCGTTTATATGCCCTAATCTTTTTTGAATAATAACTTTTTTTATTTTATTTTTATCTATTTTTCTTTATTTTAATTATTATTACCATAGTTTATTTTACATTATCCTGCCTATTCCTTTTATTTTTCATTTTTGTTGTGTTGTTTGGTAATTATTGTAAAACTAATAAAAATGAAAAATGAAAAAAAATCTAAATGAGTCCTACGTCCCAGTAAAAAAGTACAACAAACAAAATTTAATGTAAACCTATTTTTTTTCCAAATAAAAAAAAGTTCATCACATTTTGCATCCAGTTGTCAGAAGTCGTGGGAAAACTTGCACCGTCTTGCAAAAATACAAAATATTACAGTTAACCTGTAATATGGGAGGAAGTCCAAAAAGTGCAAAACTGAGTATTCATTAATTTCCTTTAGATAAAAAAAAATCCACCACAGAATCATCCATAATATACCCAGGAATGTGCGTTAACGAGACCAAATAGAGTCACTTTTGTTCCCCCTGGACTTTTCCCTCCAGCTCAAGACTTTTACCAACTTTTCCCCCCCTTTTAAATCCAGGATACAAGCTTAACTATTTTACATCCTTTTGTAATGCACTCCTTGACTCCTTTTTCCCAGTCGGCTATTGTTACATGAGGATACTTCACACCGCATTTGAATTGAGCTAAAAAAAAGGGTCAGAAAATTAACATTTAATACGCGGAACAGACACAAAAAGGAGGAGTCTATTGTTGTGTGTGAGAGGTGTTGGGGCTTTGTATTTTGGGGTAGTGATTCCAGGCCACAAAACTGTGAGAAGATGAGACATTTTTTTTCTTCTTTTTTCGGGAGGAGGAAGGCGGGGGCGAGACAGGAGCGGCCGGTGACAATGGGGTAACGGAGGGGAGGTATATATGCTCCTTTGAGTCACCCTGAAAGCAACGCTCTCTCTCATGCTGTGTAGCAAACACCTTTCTTCTCCTTCTTCCCAGGGCCGGTTTTCCTGACCCCCCTTCTTCATGTTTGTCTCGGATTTCCCCCGGAAAAGGGCAACACGGTGGTCACGGTGTAAAAAATCCAGCCTTCCTGACCGACAGCCTGGGAAAGTGGTGCAAAGGGCTTTTCTCCGTCCACTCTTTTAAACGCAACCCCACCCCCAATTCGGCAGCACGGAGATCATCGTATTTGCTCAAAAATCCTTCCTGCATGAACTTAAAGGGATAGTTCAGCCAAATATTAATTCTCTTTCTTCTGTTAAACAGATATTTTTTAAATATGCTGAAAATAGTAGCTGTTTTATTTTTTTTATTATAGGAGACGATGGTTACCAGTTTCCAACATTCAACATTAAAAACACACATCACACTGTAAAAATTGCTAGTTTTTACACAATCCCAACACAAAGTAAACTTCATTGTTTTTTACAAATTTAAGTAGATTGAACATAAAATAATTAAGTTGTCCCAAAAGAAACCTCAAGAAGTGTGTAATTTCAGTCCATATTACATAAGTAGTTTGAACAAGCACTGTAAGAGTGCATAAAGGTTTAGAACCAAGTTTAAAGGGGGAATAAACAGTAGTTTTAGGATGAGCAGTCCCTTTACAGGCTGTCTTAAACATTATTTAGAGTAGTGATTTTCCCATAAGTGCACTTGTGTTTGAGGGCAGAGTGCATGCATATTAGCGCGATGACACACAAACATATTATATGCTGTCGTCTTTGTCTGTACTCCACCCTAACCTCATTCTTTTACAGGCATTAACATACACGCACACGCACACACAAAACACGCACACACAAAACACACACACACAAAACACACACACATGCAGGAAAGTGGGGCGGAAGGACGTTCAGGAATGCAGACTATGCAGAGAGTCAATGGGAAGCTTGAGAAAGTGAGAATGTTATTGAAGGAGACAGGTATGTACTTGGAGAAGTTCATATCATCTATGACTTCCACTAGTGGAGTAAAGCGAGCCAACAAGCATGATGAAATGACATAAAAACCCGATATGAGATTTTTTTTTTAATATGGCCATGATGCAGGTCAGTCTCAATAATAGTGTTGAGACTGGTTGCTTGTTAGTCGATTTATCCATTAAAAATAAACTGGATTTTACATTTGGAAAAATAAAGGCAAGTAGTAAATGGTCCCTTCAGGATTTTGCAGGTTAGTTTTCTGATTTTTGCACCCTAATTTTTTAACTTCTAATAATATTTTTGTAAAGTTTTTCTTTTACATCAAGACTCCACTACACTTTGTATTTATACAGTTGAAGTCAGAATTATTAGCTGTTACATTTGAATTATTTTACATTTTTCCCAAGTGCAGTTTAATGGAGAGATTTTTTTCAGCACAGTTCTGAACATATAATAATTCAATAACATATAATAGTTCAGTAATTCAAAGAATAATAGTTTTAATAACCTTTTTTTTCTTTGCCATGACAAAATACTTTTTTAGATATTTTGCAAGATACTGGTATAATTAAGGAAAGAAAAGTGCCTTAAGGGGGGTAATCATATTGACCTTAAAATTTGTTTAAAAAAAATTCAAAAACTCCAGAAGAGAAAATATTATAGGACAAATATACAAAGTTTTTTTGCTAATAATTTTGCACCTTAACTTATACCTTTACCCTATAAATCCTACTATAATATCACATTTGATACATGTAGCACTTGAAATGATCAATATAAAAAAAAACATGTTAAATTTGTTTCTGCATTAATAATTATGAAATATGTTTATCAAATGAGAAGTATTTGCTTTTGTTCAATCAATCACCACTGTACCAAAGCCTTCACGGTAAAACGGAGCTCTCAAATGTCATCTTACTAAAGCTTTTAGGACAATAAATATTTACATTTTTGTCCATATAAACATCAAGTGCATCAACTTAATGTTTTGCCCAGTTTTGTTTTTCCTCATTCTCAGCAAATATCACATGCTATATTAAAAGCCTGGTGAATCTTTTCTGGCATAAAAGGGATAGTTCACCCATAAATTAAAATTCCGTCATCCTTAACTCACCCTCCACTTTTTTCCAAACCTATTTCTTTCATCTGTTAAACACAAAATAATACATCCTGAGATCGTTGTTAACAACAGCCATTGACATCCATAATAGGAACCAAAAATAATATGGATGTCAATGGCTGCTTTTTACAGCATTCTTCAGAATATCTTGTTTTGTGTTCAACAGAAAAAAAAAATTTGAGTGTGAGTCATTGACGAGGAAATGTTCATTTGTGGGTCAAATGTCTGTAAAGGAATCACAAATACTCAATATACTGTAATAGTTGTTTCTCTCAGGAATTGTACTACACCAAAACCCAACAGTCAACTTCATCAAATAAAACGCATGTGGTTAACTCAAAATTGACAGAAAGTTAATTCTACTCATTTGAAAAGAGTTTTGAACTTAGTGTTGAAGGTAATGAGTTAATTAAAAACTTCATTCCTTCAAGTTCACAGTACTCGTATAGATAAGTTTTTTAACTCAAATGGTTTGAAGCAATCGGTTTCCTCAAACAGTTTGAGTTGCTTTAACTTATCGTGTTTAACAGTACTCAGTTGGTTTAAATTCTCTTCATTTATTAGTTTTATTTCGTTTACTCAAATGGATTAAGTTCACAGTACTCATTAGGGTTAGTTTTTGAACTTAAATGGATTGTTGCAATCGGTTTCCTCAAACAGTTTGAGTTATCTTAACTTTTTGGGTTTTACAATGTAGTTAATGAAAGTGCAAAGGCAATATGGTGGCTCATTGGTTGGTGGTTCATTGGCTGTGGCGAACCCTGATGAATAAGGAACCAAGCTGAAGGAAAATGAATAAATGGATAATAACAGTAGTTTTACTTGACTACATTTTAGAACTGTATCGTACTGCACAATTTCATTATTCATTATAATATACTGCATTATCTTCATTACTGCTCTATTTTTCAACCTGCAGTCCATACTTGATGTTTATTTGTTCTTGTCTACGGTGATTGACTAAGTATTTTGCATCCCATTTGATTCCATACTGACTTCTAGTCAAATGTTTGTTGTAAAAATCATCTCTGCTAGCCTTAGCACACAATACTTATAATATAGACCATTTCAATGTGGTCATGTCAATGACCCACGCACATTTCCTGCTTCTTATCATACTATTCCATAACAAGAGGCAATTCAATAATAGCTTGATGTTAAAACAGCTATAATAACATTATCAATATGTGGACCATTTTGGATTTTCGGAAGATATGGAAATTAAAAATGTAAAACAGGAAATACGTTGGTACCATTGTTTTTGTTTGCACCCCTTAAAATGGTCTATTAAAATCACTTAATGCTCCTAAGATGAACAAACATACCTTTAGGTTGTCCTACCAGGCTCATACTTGTTCACCTGGTGGCGCTGTCCAAACTCAACACGTCCACACCCTCTACAACAAAAACCACATCATTGTTATGATTGTAAAACACATGGAAAAAACGGATTCAAAACAGATAACAGGCTGGAACATGCTTAGGAGACTTTAACATGTCTAACATTGCATAATTCCTCTACTTGGAGGATTTTATTAAAATAAATTACATTTATAGGTGAAATAAAAATTGTACTAGCTTTGTCTCTCAGTCTGGGAAGTGAATGAAGGGCTCTCCTCAAACAAATGTGTGTAAAACGATTTCTTTCTTCTTCTTTCCATTTACCAATCCCCCAAAATAAGTGTTGTTCAACAGCTGGACTCATGAGTCCTCTCAGTTTTGCTCAAGTCAGCGATAGTTTTCCCTCACAAAAAGCAAGAGTTACGTGTCATTCCCTACTGCACAGGTGTCAAACTCAGTTCCAAAAGGGCCGCAGCTCTTCACAGTTTAGTTCCAACCCTAATTAAGCACACCTGATCAAACTAATTGAGTCCTTCAGGCTTGTTTGAAACCTACAGGTAAGTGTGTTGGAGCAGAGTTGGAACTAAACTGTGCAGGGCTTCGGCCCTCTAGGGATTGAGTTTGACACCCCTGCCCTACTGTATCTGCAGCGCTTCAGGGGTAAGATTTACCTTCAGATTAAGAAGGGAAAAGTACAAGGGATTTTTTTTCAGGTTTGTCAACTTAACAGTTAAAGTGACTCGTGTTGAGCAACATGTGAACAAGTGCCTCAGGTGTCAGTGCCCACATGTACACGTTTGGCACACAAACACGCTCTCCCTCCCTGTGGGAACAGCAGCCCGAGCACAGGCACACTGCCAGCTGGCTCCGCGACGCGCTTTTGAGGCCGAGGATGTTTTGTTTTTTTGGTCTGGAGTCTGGACTGTTTCTCTCAGCAGTCTCGAGGGAAGATCCAGGCACTGAACGCCAAGCCAAATAGGCCTGACAAAGGCTCTTAGAGCAGCTCTGGTCTGCACTGACATCTAGTGGACACTGATGGATCACACAGTAGCAAATCATTCATTCATTATCTTTTCGGCTTAGTCCCTTTATTTGTCCAGGGTCGCCACAGCGAAATGAACCGCCAACTTATCCAGCATATGTTTTACACAGCTGATGCCCTTCCATCACTGGGAAACACCATACACTCTTATTCAAACACATATACAGTGAGGACAATTTAGCTTAAACCAATTCACCTATAAAGCATGTCTTTGGACTGTGGGGGAAACCGAAGCACCCGAAGGAAACGCACACAAACACGGGGGGAACATACAAACTCCACACAACAGAGGCTCAAACCAGCAACCTTCTTGCTGTGCGGCAACAGCGCTACCCCCCGCACGCAACCCAATAGCAAATCAGTTTAACCAAAACAAAAAATTCTGTCATCTCGTTTATTCACCCTCAACTTGTTCCAAAGCAGTTGAAGTTGTTTTTTTTTCAGGGTTTGGTACTAGTTTGCAACATTCTTCAAAATATCTTCTTTTGCATTCAACAGTCGGTCCCTTTAACTGTGTTTCAGGTGTTGCTTTCTATTCTTCGAGTGAATCAGATTTATGATTGTTATGGAGAGGAAGTGCGTATGTAATATTAACCTGTCACCATTTAAAGACGCCACAGAAAAATACTTTTTTCTTATGTCCAAGTATTTTGAGGAGAAAAAATATATTAAAAATAGTTCTATTTAGATTACATATTTTCCTTTGTCGCATGTTATTTAAGATATAATAATACGTATCTTAAAAAGGTCTTATTTTCCATTTTTTATTTCAGGGTTTCTGCAGGTTTCAGTCAGATTTAAGACACTTTTAAGATTATTCTGAATGAACTTTTAGACTTATACAGGGCGAAACACACAAAAAAAAATTTAATTTACTTATTTATCTATCTGACATAGACATCACTATTAAACTGGACAACAAAATGCATTTGTTTAAGTGTTTTAGCAGACTAGCTAATTCTCAACACCTGACCATGGCAGGCTTGACAAAAGGAAAGTAAAATAGATACATATACACAACATTATAATTCTTTACATAAAATTAGCAAAGGCAGCATGATCAAACAAACTAATAGTAGACTACTTGTGCTTTAAACACTTTTTAAGAATATTACTAAAATATTTATATTACTTTCTAATTTTAGGCTTACAGGTAAATCATTCCACAATTTGGTTCCTTTAAAAGAAAACAACAGATTGACCAAAAGGGATCTTACACTTTATCACTAGACAGTCAACATTAGCATTTGGTCGTGTGACTCTGAGAGGTTTGATGCCTACTGATTAGATCTGAAAACAGCCTTGGAACATGATTATTTAAACAATTAAAAAAACAATTCAAGATTAAATTAAATTTAATGAAACTATCAAAACTAAAAAGGTTATGTTTCATAAAACATCACATTGATGCATAGGCTTTAAGTCCATAATTTTAATTGCTTGATTATATAGAGTTAATAGACTTTAATGTGGTTAAAGAGGCTTGTGACCATGATGTAATGCAATATGACCAGTGAGGGCTGTACGATTTGGGGAAAATATCTAATTGCTTTTTTTTTTTACAGATATTGCAATTTGATTTCTGATTCAACTCACGTTTCAAGATGATTTTAATTTAATTCAAGCTTCAGCTCAATAATCTGTAAGCCGTGGCAACAATTCTGCGACTATGAATAAACCTGAATTGCGACACCAAAAAAAGTGCAAAACAACTTGCATTCTAAACATTCTATAAATTGTCCTTTTTCTAATTCATGACCTTGCTCAACATTCATTCATTCAATTATTCATTTTCTTGTCGGCTTAGTCCCTTATTAATCCAGGGTCGCCACAGCGGAATGAACCGCCAACTTATCCAGCAAGTTTTTACACAGCGGATGCCCTTCCAGCCGCAACCCATCTCTGGGCATCTTGCTCAACATGTGACGCTTTATATTTGTTTATTTTGGAGTTGTGCATGTACATAAATAAAGTTTTTATTAAAACCTGTATTATTTATAGTGGTAATCTATCATCTTGACTATGTCTACATGCCTCAATGCATTGAGTTGCTGCCATGTGATAGGCTGATTACAGATTTGCGTTAAAGAGGAGTTGGTCATATACCTAATACCCATACCTAATAAAGAGGCCGGTGGCTCTTTAAAAATACTTAATTTGCTAAAAAAAATAATAATAAATGGCTCATAAATGAAAAAAGTTTCCTGACCCCTGGTCAAGCAAGTTTAATTTTCTGAAGCATAGTGGACTAGTTTTGAAGCACTTCACCTCAGCTGTTATTCGTTAGTTTTGTAACCTCTTGCAATAAGCTAAACGCAACGTTTCATATTGCCCTAGTGTGCATATATAATTTTGCAGTTTGATATGTTAGTAATCTTGTAATAGACTTGGCTTGACCTTCTTACATATATTTTTAACATGACTATCAAATTTAAAATCCATGTCTAGAGTTAAGCGCTTTCCTGTTTGTTTGTTTTATTGCAGGCTTTCTGCATAGTTTAGTTTGCACAATTCTGATTGGGCAGAATGAAAGTGCGCTCACTCAATATACATATTTCATATTGCAGCCTCTTGCGATTAGCTAATCACAAAGTTTCAAATCGAGATTGCGATTCGATTCCGATTAATGACACATCCCTATTGGACATAGGAACATTAACACCAGTTTAAAACTATTTAAGACATACAACACAATATTTGAGTGAATTTAAGACTTTTTAAGGCCTACATTTTTTATCATTCTTTTTTTTTAATTTTTTAGACATTTTAAGACTTTTTTTAGACCCTGTGGACACCCTGTATTTACTAATAAAGCAGATTTTTCTTGCAACATGTCAAAGAAAAATACTGTCTCAAGTTTTCACAGAAAAGTAGGCTACAATTAGTCAAAACAAAAAAAGCTATAATTTTCTATTGCGATTGAAAATCTGGGTTATTACACCAAACACTGATTGCTTAACTCTTCTGAGTTAAAACGTTGACAGCGAGTTATTGTCTGAAAATATTAACAAATATAAACAACATGGCACATTTGTTATGTGAGTGGTTTTTGCTAAATGTTCTAAATTCAATTAAATTCAATTCAATTCAGCTTTATTTGTATAGCGCTTTTACAATGTAGATTGTGTCAAAGCAGCTTCACATAAATGGTCATTGTAACTGGAACAGTGTAAATGACAACATTTTAATTACACATTTGTAGGAAATGCAATTAATGGTTTACAGAAAAAAAAAATTTAAAAGACGAATTTTGTTACACAAATATATATTATAAATTGTGTTATATTATATTATATTATATTATATTATATTATATTATATTATATTATATTATATTATATTATATTATATTATATTTCTAGTCAATTACACTAATCTCTAAGAAAATACTGTATTTTAGATTTACTACATAATTATAATTACACAATTTATTATAGTGAGCACAAATTACTTTTAAATTAACATTATTTAAATTAGCATGTTACAATAAAAACACATTTTGACAAAAATTCTTAGTTACACTTTAAAACACAATGTAAATGTAACGAAAACAATCAATAAATATTACAGTAGTATCCCTTTAATAATTAGTAGAGCTTTTATTAATAGTGTTGATCAGTATTTATTTTAGATGTTCTGTTTTAATAATGTACAATGTTGCTGTGAGTTTAGCCTTTATTTCCTTTTTTTAATTGTATACATTATAATACAATATAATATACAATAACACATTATTTTAGTTTTTTGTTAACTGCCATAAAAGTGTAAAACACACACAATATATATTACATTCTTCTAACTATTTGAATAATAACTTCCTGTTTATTTTTTGAACGGTGTATGCGGTGACTGATGTGACTTATCAGTGGTGTATCTGCTCTGACGCTTCTGATTGGCGTTCTGGGAGTTTGCGCTTTTGTTATCGAGCGCACGCGTGAAAGACGCAAACAATAGAGGCACGCGAGCTGCCGCTTCAGGACGCGCTCAAGCGGGCTCATCAAACCGAGTCACACCGCCGAGATTTTGCGCTCCACAGCACACATTATACCGCATTACTTTACATCACATGCCATTTAAACTCAATCTGCTGCACTTCTCACCACTGCATGCCAGATTGCGCTCGAGATGCATTACCTTTCCACTGTTTGCGTGCACTGTTTGATTCATTATAAGACAACTTTCTTAAATAGAACTTAGTAAAATCATAGCATTATAACTGCCATTGAACAGCATTGTGTCATACATTCTCAATTAAGTGTGTGTACTGGTTTTGGTAGTTTATGAGGTCACATTTGTATTATGACATGGGTATGACTTAGGTATTACAATGTTGAGGTGGTTTATGAGGACATGACTTGTGTCATCTGTCAAAATACTTAACAGGGTCTTTTCACATTCAAAATCTGCCACAGGTTTCTTGTAAGGCTTGAGATTAAGGGTAGAGTTATGGTAAGGTAAAAATAGTTTTTACAGCATAAGATACGAACATTATGCCTATGATGTAGGGCTGCATGATATTGGAAAAATTTGACATTGTCAAGTATATAGTCAGATTTATAAGCCCCCCTGAATTATTAGACCCCGTGTTTATTTTTTTTCTTCCTAATTTCTGTTTAAAGGAGAGAAGATTTTTTTCAACACATTTCTAAACATAATAATTTTAATAACTCAATTCTAATAACTGATTTATTTTATCTTTGCCATGATGACATTAAATAATATTTTACTAGATATATTTCAAGACACTTCTATACAGCTTAAAGTTACATTTAAAGGCTTAACTAGGTTAATTTCGTTAACTAGGCAGGTTAGGGTAATTAGGCAATTTATTGTATAACGATGGTTTGTTCTGTAGACAGTCAGGAAAAAAATTATTTTGTCCTTAAAATGGTGTTTAAAAAATTAAAAACAGTTTTTACTCTAGCTGAAATAAAACAAATAAGACTTTCTCCAGAGAAAAAAAACATTATCAGACATACTGTGAAACTTCCTTGCTCTGATAAACATGATTTGGGAAATATTTAAAAAAGAAAAAAAAATCAAAAGGGGGCTAATAATTCTGACTTTAACTGTGTATGTAATATATATATATATATATATATATATCCAAAGGTTTGGACACACCTTCCAATTCAAAAAAAATTAAAAACCGCTTGTATTCTAGCCAAAATAAAATAAATAAGACTTTTCCCAGAAGAAAAAAATATTATTAGACATACTGTGAAAATTTCCTTGCCCCATAAAACATAATTTGGGAAATATTTAAAAAGACCTAAAAAAAAATCAAAGGGGGGCTAATAATTCTGACTTAAACTGTTTATATATATAATTGAAAGGGGGGGCTAATAATTCTGAATTCAACAGCATAAATATAGAGATAAGGCTGGTGTCCTGCAGAGTTTAGCACCCTCAACACACCTACCTGGAGCTTGATTAGCTGGTTCAGGTGTTTTTCATTAAAACTAAAGCTAAAATCTGCAGGTCAGGTCCAGGGGTATCAGGTCATACCCCTGCTTTAGAGTGATTGGGATGATTTTATAGGCGAGTGAAATATAAATGTACTTAATGTATTTTTATGTAATTTATTATATACATATAAAAAAACAGAATACAGTCATTAATAAACACAATGGAACAAATATTCAAGTGAAACAAACAGTGATTTATGAATTTCTGCAGAGAGTCAGTATTCAGTTACAGAAATTTAAAAAACAAGTGTAACATTTTAACAAAACAATTTAGTCTTAATTGTATAAATTGTTCAATAAAAATCTTTATTAAACTTCTTTATGCACTATTAAAATGCCCTACTATGGGAAATCACCATAAACCACAAAACCAACATGTGTTTGTGTGTGTGTGTGTGTGTGTGTGTGTGTGTGTGTGTGTGGGTGTGTGTGTGTGTGTGTGTGTGTGTGTGTGTGTGTGTGTGTGTGTGTGTGTGTGTGTTACATTTAATAAAATAGCAGATGATTTAATCCCAACCAACTTACAAATGACCATAAAAGTCATCAAAACAAAAAAAACAGAATAGAAAAATATATAATAAATAAAAATAATAATAATATATATGGGAATCTGATAATTCCTTTGATCAGTCTAATGCAGTTAACCATTTATGTATTATACATAATATAACCAGAATCATTTTATTTTCATCAAAAAGAACAGAATATAAAATAGATAAGAAATAAAAATTGTTAATTTAGACCTGTATTTTTATTTAACAAAAAATTAATAGCAAGGTAAGAAATTTAAAATTACTTATAAGAGCAATGGCAGCGTTATGGATGTGACATTTGCAGTAAAAGTCAAAACATAAATTCACAAAGAAAGTAACATTACACTGAAGCAACTACTATATTTCCCAAAACAAATGACCACAGAGTTATGAGATCAGAAAAATATCAATCTGTAAACATGCTTTATACTTTAAATGAGGAAAATAAACATGCGGTATGGATGTGACAAAAAAAGTTTGCGAGTTTGCAGTATACAATTCTGCAAATTAAACTGCACAGCCCAAAAGAAACAAAGCTAATCAAAAGGAAAAGAGTCGGTTCTTTCTTGAACAAACATTACTGATTTGATTTTATTTGACTTTTTGCTTTTATAAGGGAAAAGCTTCATTATGGATGTGACATCTCTCCGTTTTGAATGTGACAGATGTGAAATTGGCACTTGTGTGACTTTGGTAAACCACATATAATAGTTTAAAAATACTGACAGAGACATTTTTATGTATTTCTAAATTACTGTAAAATACAAGCCTACACACAAAAAAAAATGTAAAAATGGTTTCTCTATTTTGTTGAAATGTTTTTTTTTTCATGGCAAGGTTCACATTAGCATGCAATTGCTTCTATATTATATAATAATTATCTGTATACTATATTATATTTAAAAAGTAAAACAGAAAACAGATTAGAAAGTGGTTTAAATAATGATTTTGTCAATATAAAAACACAAAACAACAAATATATTATATTAAAAATTAAGATTGATTAAGAAATCATTTTTTTATATAAAAAGAGAACAGAAATAATTATTAACTTAAGTTATCAGATCACATTTTTAACCAGATGAAGTAGTAAATAGAATCTAAGTTGTTAGCAGTGTAAGAAGTGTTTACAAAACATATTACATAGACTAAATTTATAAATATAACGTGACTTAACATGGAAAACCCCAGCCATTAAGAAATGCATTTAAAACTAGTAAAATGACTGACTTTTAGTCTGAACAAAACACACGATAACATCTTCAGTGCTCACTTTCATATAGAAAGTTGGCGTGTACTGCCTGTATTTCGAAAACACAACGTCTTTGCCCTCTAAAATGACATTTTGTTGTTCTCGTCGTAACTCGGAATCCAATAAAATGAAATTCAGCACTGAAGTGGCTAATCTCAACGTGCTAGCAGGAAAGCGTGAAGTGCTTTATTATGAGTCGTAAACAAATTGACAGCTGCTGGCGTTAAAAACAAGGCGACTGTATTTACATGTTTCACCAGAATCAGTGTCAGTTATGAATATTCAACTTACTTAAATAACGATGATGTCAAGCTGCGAGGGGATTGAATGTTGCTGGATAAATCTGTCAGTATATCCGGGCGGAACCATTAAATTCGCTGAAGGTTTATTGCCAACATTTGACGATGTGACACGCGTTCCCTTTAAATATTTGTAAACTTAATATTTGTATAATTAGTAAAGATGGAAAGAACTGTCAAAGTGGCCCAATTATGCGAGCTAAAGTAAAAAAATTAAACGGGACAGTAATAGTTGCGCCAGAATAATCGAGAAATTACAAATTAGTGGCTTAGAAAGAATAACGGGATTCGGGCGACATCTATTGACGAGTCAAGTGAACATCAGCTGTTATAAACCACGAGGACAGTAATCAGCCTAAGAAAGTAACACATTTTAATATTATTTAAAAAAAATGTACATGTGGGTCTTGAATTTATAACAATAAATCTAAATTTGTCAAATTTGTTCTCCGTGTATTGGCGTGGGTTTCTCCGAGTGCTCCGGTTTCCCCCACAAGTCCAAGACATGCGCTATAGGTCAACTGAACAAGCTAAATTGGCCGTGTGTATGTGTGTCAATGAGAGTGTATGGATGTTTCCCAGTACTGGGTTGCAGCAGGAAGGGCATACGTTGTGTAAAACATATGCTGGATACGTTGGCGGTTCATTCCGCTGTGGTGACCTCTGATAAACAAAGAGACTAAGCCAGAGGAAAATGAATGAATAAATGTTACTCATTTTCTTTTAATGTGGGCTAAAAGTCTTTACAAAACACTATTAAACTACTATTAAATTACAGATGTGCAGAAGTCAATTAAATCTTGTGTTATACAACAATGATAATAGTAACAAGGCGAGGCAGTGGTGTGCAGTAGGTAGTGCTGTCGCCTCACAGCAAGAAGGTCGCTGGGTTGCTGGTTCGAACCTCGGCTCAGTTGGCGTTTTTGTGTGGAGTTTGCATGTTCTCCCTGCCTTTGCGTGGGTTTCCTCCGGGTGCTCCGGTTTCCCCCACAGTCCAAAGACATGTGGTACAGGTGAATTGGGTAGGCTAAATTGTCCATAGTGTGTGAGTGTGTGTGTACTGTTTGTTTCCCAGAGATGGGTTGCAGCTGGAAGGGCATCCGCTGCGTTAAAAACTTGCTGGATAAGTTGGCGGTTCATTCCGCTGTGGTGACCCCGGATTAATAAAGGGACTAAGCCGACAAGAAAATGAATAAATGAATGATAATGGTAACAATAATAACACATTTATTATTAAATAATTATGTAATCATTATCCAATAGAACATTTATAAAAGTCTTAACCATCATAAAATAGGAAGTACAACAACAACGATTATTATTATTATTATTAGATTATTTAAGAAAATGTTTAATTATATTTAGATACAAAATATATGGGAAATTATTCCTAAAATTGACATTTTCTTTTAAAAAATGTGACAGGATCTTAATTAAGCTTGTCGTCCTCAAAAAAAATCACACAAAAACAAGCATAAACCATGCAATGATAGAATGCATTGTTGATCACTGTCAGCTTCATCTCCGTCAAATGGTGTTACTTAGCCTTTATTGTCACTAAATGACGATAATAATATACCAAAACAAGAAACATGGGGACAGTTGTACATTTATTTGTATTATATATTTGTAGATTTTATTATTTTTTTTATAAGACCCACCCCTCTCTGACAAAGGTCCAGAATTTGTCCCATACATGTGTTAATTTGACTGTTATGCCATCATAAATAGTGAAAATCACTCATTGAAAACTCTTAAAAATAAAATAAAATTTAAATACAATTGTTGTAATCAATTAATTTTCAAATGTACTTTTTTTTACAAGAGAGACTAGAAAAACTGTGAAGCTCTACATTATTGTTATTATTGATAATAATAATAATAATTATTGTTATTATTATTATTATTCAAATGGACAAATTCTGACTGAGGAAAGTTGAATGTGCAGGCCATTATGATATTTATTATAGGCTTTGTTTTTAATTTAAAACAGATTATTTTTTTTCTTCTCTTTTTCTAAGATATAATATATGATTAAAAAAATGTCAAATATGTATTTTAAATACAAAATAGTTTTTATTTTTAAATGTATTTGACGTGGTTTATGAAAATGGCTTCATATTTTGTATCAGAATACTTTGTCTTGTATTTTTGTATTTTGAAAATTCAATTCTTGGAGAATCGATGGAAATGACACATTACATAGAAAGAAAGTAACAGACAAATATCAGGGGTAAATTCGGGGACAGGTCAAAATCAGACAGGAAAATAAGACAAACAACATAAGCAAGTCCTACAGTGGCGATACCTACAGAAATAAATTGGCTGTTTCAAATGCCAGTAGCTATTCTGCAGGTGCACTTCATAGTTAATTACAAACCTTCATGTAGTATATTAGTATGAGACAAAAATATTAAATAATATTCCAGTCTACTTGTCAAAAACTCCCAAATTTTCAGAGATCTCAAGTTTTATATTGTGTATTGAAGAGTACAATTGCAAAAAGTAGATTATAAAACTTACATTTTTTATTCTTACAGTAGAGGTGATGCTCAGAGAAAAGCTGTTATAATCATTGTTTACTTCACTAAATTAGTTTAATGGTGGAGGGATTGATCCAATATGCCTAAAGGTTTGTGAAGAAATGTTATGCTCCCTTGTAAAAGTATTTTGTACTATTTTCAAAATAAAAAATACAGGATTTTATTTTGATAAATTTGTGGCTGCTTTATTTTGTAGTTATTTGGATACATGTAAAACTGAGGTAGGCTATTTTGTATTTTAAAAATACACTTCAGCTAAAAATTGTGATTAAAAATGTGTTTAAATCTCATAATTAAATAGTAAATGAGGTGCATAGCAGCAAAAAGATCCACTTTTTAAGAAAAAAGAACCACCCCTTTAACCTGGCTAGCTACGGGCCTGCCTTGCACACACTCACACACACACTACGGCCGATTTAGTTTATTCAATTCACCTAGATCGCATGTGTTTGGACTTGTGGGGGAAACCGGAGCACCCGGAGGAAACCCGCTCACGCGAACACGGGGAGAACATGCAAACATGCAAAATGCCAACAGATCAAGCTGGGGCTCGAACAAGCTACTTTTTTGCTGTGATTGTGCTACCTACTGCTCCACGGTGCTGCTCCAACCTCATTTGTTATTTTATTATTACATTATTTACAAGTTATGTTTATTATTATTATTATTATTATTATATTTATTTATTTTAAACAATGACAAAAACAAAACAAATCACGAAACGTTATTTATGCGAGAGTGTTCCCCTGACCCTTTGCTCTCCCCAGGGTGACCCTAGTTGTGTATCACAATTTTGGACATTCTTCTCTGGACTTTATCATGTGATCAGCGTCCAAGATCACGTGAGAGAGCGGCAGCGTCAGAGCACGGAAGTTGTCATAGAGAGCTAAAAAAAAAAAGCTGCAGAGAGACACCGCCACTGGTGCTGTAGCTTGAAAATAACTCTCTTCGCTCGCTAACACGCTACCGATTAGTATCTGTTTTCCCGGCTATACGCCTATAAACGCAGCAGAACAGGTCCCGGAGCTCCAGTACTGAACTCCAGCAGCGGGATGGAGTGGTTTGGAGGCGGCATGTGCCAGCCTGAACAGGACCGAAAGGAAAATATGCCCTGCACACACCCACACGAGGTACCCGAAAGTTCACGAGTGCTTTATTTACACTCTAATGCCTCCTGTTTGTGCTTTAAGTCCACACGAAGTCTGGACTTAATGTGTGTCTACGGGAATAAACTGCAGCTCAAGTGAAGGGAATTAACTAATAATGAGCTCCACAATTTAACAACTGATTGCTGCATTAAGAACGGCTAACATTTGTTTTTGCTTTGGACATTTTCTGAAATGATTAAGAAAGTTTTAAATAGCAAATGAGGTATCATTGTGTTCAATATGGTCCAGTTTGGTTGCATTTCTAGCTCAAAAACCTGAACATTGGATAAAATCAGGTGAATAAAGTCTTGTTTGGTTCTGTAAAACTATTTTTAGAGATGATTTATTAAGGTTGGTTTTATATTCACACATTCAGTCACTGAATGAATGTGCGAATATAAAACAAACTTTACCTCAATAAAGGATTTCGGGAATCTCTTTTTACCACATTTTTCAGAATATAATGGCAACAGCCAGAAGATGAACATACTTTTCTCTATTTTTGTACCTTTGCACATTATTGAACAATAATTATGTAAACATTAGTGCTGTCAAACGAAACGCTTTGTATTCAAATATGCTGTACTGTGTATATGCATGTGTATTAATAAAAACACCTACATAAATACAAAAATTAGCCAACATATTATTATTTTTCTAGATATTTTTTAATATATTGATCTATTTAAACATTTTCTCAAATACACAATAAAATGCTGGATTGTCTTAACCCATTAGGTTAAATAAAGACAAGTCCATCATTAGGTTGATGGTTTTCAATTAAATTTAAAATACTATTTTTTTACCCAACTGTCGTGTTTGTCTATATTTCACTTAATGGGTTAAACAATAAAGCATTTTTTAGGTTAAACGATCCAGTGTATTTCTAGAATGTAGATGCATGTGTATTTGTTTATATGCACAATAAATAGCACACACACGCACATATTATGTGAATATATAGTTTTGTTTTAGTGGTGATTAATCATTATTAATTGTTTAATAGCACTAACAACCCTCTGTAAAATAATTCCAGAATATATATATATATATATATATATATATATATATATATATATATATATATATATATAAATAAATAAAACTGTGAAGTCCACAGTATTTTATTACTGCTGGTAATGTATGAATCAGTGCAGGAGCATAAAAAGCTAACCTGCAAATATATATCGTAAGCTTGGATGTTTTCTTTACCATTAGATTAAAGAAAATGAAAAGCCAAAATCTATAGTGTCTTGCCTTAAACTTGAATCAGTGTGCAAATGTACTGTTAAGATGATGCTGCAGTAATACCTGACTGCAGGATGAGTAAGAGAAAGACTCAAAGGTCAGCAAGACAGCATCGCATTTAATGGTGGCCACATTGTTGTTTGTCAAGCTCACACACCGTGTACTGTAGATGTGTTCGTATATCTGGCCATCATTAAGTGGTATTATGTGGATCTTTTATCTGAGATCATGAGACTGTGTTCGTTGTCTCCTGCTGACCGGTTTGTTCTGACAGCTGAGGATAATGACAGTTATTATTAGATTCTTGGAATATACATCTGTATTGTGGTAATTGTGTCATTTTTCTGTGTAGTAATTGTTTTTGCTTTTTTTTTTTTAGAAAGTCAGCAAATGCGCAATCTTCATATTGCAGTCTTAAATGTGTACTACAGTGACTGAGAGAGCTCGAACACGCTGCATGTTTAGAAATGTGTATAAAAACAGTAACAAACTGAAAAAAAACACCTGGGGTCCGTTCTTCGTACGTGGATTACTCAGTTAGCTGAGACTAATCTGATTCGCGAACTCGTTTGAAGAACCAAATTAGCGAGAGATCAGTTATCAAGATTAAAAGATCCGGGATCTGCCAAATAATCTTAGATCATTTAAGCGAGGTACGAAGAACAGACCCCTGGGGTCCGTTCTTCGTACCTCGCTTAAATGATCCAAGATAATTTGGCAGATCCTGGATCTTTTAATCTTGATAACTGATCTTCAAACAAGTTCGCGAATCAGATTAGAATGTCTGGATAAACTGAGATCGCTGCGTGTGTTGTGAAGGACAGGGGTCAGTTCTTCGTACGTGGATTACTCAGTTAGCTGGATTTGGATATTGACGATTTGACATGATCCAGGATCGTTTCGTTCTTCAAAGCTGATCCAAGAGTTGTTGTCATGGCAACAGTTCTGCTAGGTCAAACCTGATCGGAAGCAGGTTCAATTCATATAAACAGGATTAGATCGGCTCAGTTCAAGCAAAGATAATACAGAAAGTATGTTCCGAATTCTGATATTTTCTTACAGTAGTAGTTATATACACTTGGGAAAATGGTACATATTTTTTAACTATATATATAAAGTTAAAGTCATTAATAAAATAAATAAAGTTATACATATTAATAAAACGTATGCAATCTGCACCCTCGAAATGAACAAAGACTGCCACCTGGTGGTGCAAAGAGAAAACTTATTGATATGAACTTTTTAGATCGCTTTAGTACAAACTGTGTATAATAGAAATGCACAATATGTGACTTTTTTAAAGCAATAATACATTTATGCAGTCATAAACATGTTTTGATAGTTTATATGCCAGTGATTTGATGCTTCACTAGTTGCAGACACCTTGCTTTTGTAAACAACCAGTTATTCTTTACACCGATTAAAAAACGGATACTATTATAAAGAAAATATTTTCTAAATGTAGAACTAAATACATTGATTTGCATTGAAATGCATGATGAATACTCTTGTCTTGACAAATGAAAGTGTAAAGCCTGCAGCTCACAACAAATGTGGAAAGTTCTTGCGTGTCTTATTTAACAAACCGGTTACTGCTAATTTGATGTAATTTTGCTCACATGGACTAATCTAAGCAATGCAGCGATTGGCTGACGGCACAGCAGCGTAATGACATCATCTGATTAATATTAAATTATCCATGTGAGCAAAATTACATCAAATTAGCAGGAAACGGTTTGCTAAATATGACACGCAATAACCTTCCACATTTGTTGTGAGCTGCAGGCTTTGCACTTTCATGTGTCAAGAGTATTTATCATGTATTTAGTTCTACATTTAGAAAAGATTTTCTTTATTATAGGTTTTTTAATCGCTGTATGGAATAACTGGATGTTTACAAAATCACTTTTGATAAAGGTGTCTGCAACTTTTGTGAAGCATAATCACTGGCATATTAACTGTCAAAACATGTTTATGACTGCATTAATGTATTATTTCTTTTTTTTAAAAGTCACATATTCTGCATTATTTTTATTATACACAAATTGTACTAAAGCAATCTAAAAAGTACATATCAATAAGTTTTCTCTTTGCACCACCAGGTGGCAGTCTTTGTACTTTCATTTCGGGGGTGCAGATTGCATAAGTTTTATTAATATATAACTTTATTTATCTTATTAATAACTTTATATATACAGTTAAAAATATTTACTGTTTTCCCAATTGTATATAACTACTACTGTAAGAAAATATCAGAATTCGGTACATGCTTTCTCTATTATCTTTGTTGAACTGAGCCGATCTAATCCTGTTTATATGAATTGAACCTGCTTCAGATCAGGTTTGAGCTAGCAGAACTGTTGCTATGACAACAACTCTCGGATCAGCTTCGAAGAACAAAACGATCAGCTACTCTGAGTAATCCACGTACGAAGAACAGACCCCTGAAATGTTGAACAAAATGTTTATACTTATACCAAAATGTTATCATATATCAAACTGACAAAAAAAATTGTCTAATGTTTTTGATGTAACCTTTTTATTTGTTTTACATCTAAATTGATCTTGCTGTAAAATAGCCTTAAATTGCTTATGTGGCAATAAATAAGAAAACAAATAAAATGTCTTCATCAATTTGATAACACGCATGGATGCAAATACCACATACCACTATGTAAATTTAACAGGGGACCCCTAAATTTGATAAACCTGGTTGCTTTTTCCCATTTAGTTTTCTGGTTAAATGTTTTTTGCAACAGTTTTCAACCATACTTGCAAGTGAGAGTATAAAAATCAGCCCTTTTATTAGAGTTATTCTTGGAATTATTCATATAAACTCTATTAAATCCAAGAATTGTTAATCCTGCCGTTTCTAAATGCTCTTAGGTTGCATATATTTCAAGTAAAAAACTGTAATATTGTTAAATATTATGTTAATGTAAAATAACCTTTATATTACAATGATTTAAATAGCCCCTATTATGCATTAAAAGGTCATATTTTGGTTTTGGGGGTTTCCAACAACAGTCTGATATCCATGCAAGGTCAAAAAACACTTTCAATGTCTTCTAATATGCATTTATTTTTACCTAATTATCCCAACGACTCCCATACGATTCGTTCAGCTATTCATATGTTTCCAAACCCCTCCTTAGGGCGATGCTAATTTACGCTGATTGGTCCGATGACCCAGTCTGTTGTGATCGGTCGACTGCGTTCAGAGCGAGACAGAGAGAAATGCCAACCATGGCTTATCAACAATATTGAAGAAGTCAGAGTGCATAGTGTATGTGTGAGCCCAATGCAGGAGTGCATCCAAGCAAACTAGCAGTTATACTTATAGAGCATGTTGCTCTAAGTATAAAAAGTGACACACATTTAGTATTAATTTACAGTAGCAGAACCTGAACTATTTTGAAAATTTACCATCGCATGTGTGTTGGAACAGCTGACGGTGGCCGTAGCAACAACAAACGGCAGAGAATCGCGAGCTCGCATACGCATTTTCATCCATAAATAAAGCGACCCGCGTTTTGTTTTCAACTTGGTTATAGACGCGATATGAGAATATAAAGAGTTAACCAGGTAAAGTATAAGTGGTTACAAGTAACACAACACAAATAAATACATAATTTGCAAGCTAGAGCAAACAAGGAAGCAACCATTTTAATCGCACTTACTTACACTTGTGAAATGGAGGAAGAAACTGATCCATGATCTGTCAGAGCTTGACAGGAACTTCACAGTACACAAAGTCCCATATCGCTTTACTGATCCTTCCTTTAACAAATGGCTGATGAATCCCACGTTGTAAGCGTGTAGATTGCTGAAGCACTTGTCAGAAAATTGAGCACAAGGCTGGGCTATAATGCTAAGGTATTTTTGCAAAATAAACTTCAACCACTGTCTCTTCACGGCCTCTTCTTTGGGTAGGGAAACTAGCACTAACTTTCCCTCACACTTCAGAGCACAGCGTCTATGGGACTTGATTCAACCGGGATCTGCTACGGTGTTTGTTTTCCTCTTTTTCTTACTACAGTGTTTGTGGGTCGGACCGGGGATTGCAATTTTCCCGGGTCTGCACATGCAACAAATGGGCAGGGCTTGAGCTCTGTATTGTCATAACGCTGAGTCACCAACACGGCTAAAGACTCGTTACCGCAGCGATTCATCCGAACCACTATGAGTCGACTCTTTAGTAGATGAATCAATAGTTTTACACGGTGCACTTTCAGATTTAAGCCTTAGCTGAATATTTCACTTCACTTTGCACACTGCATGGAAGGTCATTTTCAAAACCCATAATAGGGTATCTTTGAAGTATATTTTTACTCTTATGGTTAGTGTAAAAAGCAAATATAATGTTTGTTGAAAGAATCTTTAAAAAAAATATACTTTTACCAAACAAGCATTGTTTGTTCTTAAAAGAAGTCTAATTGATACGTCTAATAGACGTCTAAACATAGACGGATTTGTTAAAACAAGGCTAAATTTGAGCTGTGAAAATCTAATAGATATCTAAAGTCTGTCTAAGAGAAGTTAAAAGTAGGGCCTGCAGGCCAAAGTTGGCCCATGGTAACCTTTGATTTGACCCTCATCCTATGTGAGTATGTAATTTAACGTAGCATTTTTTTTTCTACAAAAAAGCAAACTAAAAATAAATATTTCATTTAAATTCTGTAAATTAATCAGTTTTAAAAAATATAAATACTGTCACTCAACAGATAGAGGACAATGCAGAAGTTGGCAAATCAAGGCAAAAAGCAGGTGCAGCTTGACTCGTGTAACTATTCTCCTATAAATTGGATTGTGTTTCTTTTTAACAGTAAGTTCATTATAAAATTTTAAAAATATTTACTCCATTAGATATTTTAAAAACAATGTTTTCTAGTCATTTTTAAATATTAAAAAAGTTAGCAATTCACTAATAGTAACTTTAATGAAGTTTGGCATATTTACCTTCGACCCACTTTCTCAATCAAGTCTGGTTATTGGCCCTTTGTATGAAAAAGTTTGGGCACTCCTGGTCCAATGTGTTTGACTAGTCTAGTTTTAGGCTATTCCGAGATATCTGTTTGATTTTTACTGACAGCCCAAATTTAGCCATGTTTTAGCCAAGCCGTCTGTTTAAATGTCTATTAGACGTCTGTTAAACATTTAGATTGATATTGATTTAAAATGTGTTTTTAAACTAACTACATTGCTTTAGATTAACCAATTACATGATGTAATCTAGATTATGTAATCAGATTACAAAGTGTGGTTCTTGTAAATGCATCATATTTTGTTTTCAAATGTTTTTCATTATATTTGCAATTACTTTTTTTCTCTGTAGACTATTGCGTTACTTTTACTCCAAATTATTCATGCAATGGCCATAAATGATTCATCATTCATAGATTGTTTTTTTTCCTAATCATTATTTTCCCCCATTTTAAAAATCTTTTTATTATATTATCAGAATTATTATTTGAAAATTATATTGTGTTATGACCATACAGTTTAGCATTGACTATTTGCAGTACAGAACACGCCTGTAAGTGTGATGTAAATTCATTTGAGCTTCATCTTTCTAAATTCCAGGACAAAATAACATAGACAAATTAGGTCTAAAGCACTCTAGAATTGATTCCTAAATAAGTAATCCAAATTACATTCAGTTACTTTCATCATAAAACAGATAATAGACAGTTCTAACGACTAAATTCCTTACCAAAGCAGTATTTTTCTGAGCATATATGATACTGTGATTTAGTCTCTCTCTGTGTGTGTGTGTTGTGTGACAGGCAAGTGCGGAGAGCATGGCGTCTCTGTGTCAGCGGCAGCAGCACTGTGTGAAGGCCTCCATCGCATCAGAGTGGCAGCTGGCAGAAGCGCAGGATCAGCTCTGCGGTCTGGAGCTCCACAGCTCCGAGTCTGTGGAGCAGGAGAGAGCCCGAGCACTGGCCTCCTCCACTGAACTCTCGCACACTGAACACCAGTGGAGGCTCAAAGAGAGGATGCTGGGCACGCTGTGTCCTGAAGCCAACCGGGATGTGTTTGACAAGGTAGCTAAACTCTAGAAAGTCATCCAGAGAGTTGATGATGTCATCATAATTACTGCATTGCTAGTACAGGCCACTATGGCTGCAGACAAGGAAAACATACAAAAACCTACAGTTGAAGTTAAAATTATTAGTCCTCCTGTTCAGTTTTCTTCTGTTTTGTCAGGTTTCACTGTGTTTTTTGCTCTTAAATTTAGAACTTTTTTTTTTAAAGCTACCTTTTTATTTGTTATAGGTGTAAACAGGCCTTAAGTCTTAGCGTGTTGATTTTCTGATATCCTTTTATTTTTCTTTTAGAGTATCATAAACATTACACAGTCTTGGCCAAATGAATCTGATCCAGATAAAAGCTTAAACTTCGTCCAGCGCAATGAAGAGCTCCTGAAACATTTTGGTACGCGATCTAAATTGTGGTAAATGTTTTTTAATGAGTATTGTTCATCGTAGAGCAGGTTGTCATCTCTCTCTCTCTTCTGATTGGACAGGTATGCTGGGAAGGTGGGATGACAGTCAGCGCTTTCTAGCAGAATATCATCACCTCATCTGTGAAGAAACAGCCAATTACCTGATCCTGTGGTGCTTCCGGCTACAGGCAGAGAAGGTGACTGCTTTCTCTTCAAAATACATACACACACTTCTGATTATTTCAGCTTTTTTGAAGTTTGTATTATCTAGGTCTTGGAGATTTAGGCAGTTATTACATTTAAAATGTTCAAAGCAGTCAGTATCTATAATCATCACAATAAATGTACTTTGCTCCTTACCAATGAAAACAAATGGTTTACTGTTCATTTAAATTACTCTTTCGCTGTCGAACATGACAAACACACACTAGATTAACATTTTACAAGTCTGAGGTACATTTTATTAACTTTGTATTGCGTTTTTCTGCCCTTTTCATTTAAAGGGCCGGTTCATTCAAAATGGAAACTTCTGTCATCCTTTACTTACCCTTCACTTCTTCCAAACCTGTTTGAGTTTCTTTCTTCTTTCTTCACAAATGAAGATATATTGAAGTAGGTTGGTAAAAATCAATGGCTGTTTTCCATAGTATTGTTTGTTCCTGTCAATGGCTGTTTTTTTCCCCCAAAACATTCTTCAGAATATCTTGTTTTGTGTTCAACAGAAGAAAGAAATTCATAAATGTTTACAACTACTTGAGTGCTAGTAGATGGTGAGGAAATTGTTTATTTTTGAATTAACCTTTCTTTAAAATCTCTTTAACAGAAAAAATATGTGTTCCAGGATGTTCTGACAAGTGATATCAAACATAAAACAGGTTTTTGTTCCCGACTTCGAGAATGCAATGTCAATTTATGCAGATGTAAATGTATGGTTTATAAAACAGCAACTATAAAAATTGTGTTTAAACATTCAGAGCCCTGTCATACATCCGGCACAATAAGGCGTAAGACATGTTTCTATGACGTGTTGCTATTATCAGATCATAATTTTCCCATTTTCTGCCACGTTGTTTAAATGGCAAATGCTCAAAATAAGTCTAAAGTCTAGTGCAGAGCACGTTAGTTGTGCGCCTCGCTTACACATTGCTTAATACACACAGGATGTACAGCAATACACAAATATCTTTACAAATGAAAAAGAATTAAAGGAATAAAATATTACTAAAATGTATTACTTTCTACATAAAAATAAAAACCACTGCTTTAATGCCTTCATCTCGGGAGGCTTTTTCAGTTTACTCTTGACAATTTGCTTTTGCATAATGTTATTATTATTGGTAGTATTATTTATTATATGCATATTTATATGTGTTTTATTAAAAACAAGCTTGGATTTGTCCACCTGTCAGGTTTTGGACCATATGAGGCACAACATGTGTTGGATAGAACTCAGTTGTTTGACCACATTTCGTTATTATTGTTCATTTATTCATTTGCTGGAAATTAAAACTGGATTTAGAAATAGTTTTAAAACAAATCTTTGCGCTCAACAGATGAAATTAATTATGTAGGCTAATGGATGTCTTTGCGTACAACACGTTTCTTTATCCACGAAAGAGATTGAAAGTGAAAGTAAAGAATGAGAAGGCTCATTTTTTCATTCTCGTGCTGCAGATGGTCACTGTTCAGTTTTTCCACTTACAAAGTCCACCATGTAAATAGCAAATGCGTTATGGCGTGATGCAAATGAATCTTGAAGGGAATGGGAGATGGCCCCCTATTGGTTTATTCTCAAAACATGCCTATAACTCATTAAAATAATAAGCACAACCCTGTTAGACCGTGTGCTGCAGTGCAAAGTGATTTTTTTTGTCCTTAAAATAGCAACGATGGATTGTCCTAATATAACCTGATATATTTTAGGTTATAATTATAGGTAAAATATACAGCATGTAATTATGTATACAATAAGTTTCCATTAATGTTAATTATCACACGGCTTTCTGGAATCCTTAATTCTGATTGGTCAGTCACGACATTCCAAGGCATGTTATTCCCAGATAAGAACCACTGAAACCAATTACACAGTCTCATCCGGGATGTATAAATCATGTTGACCAAAAGTGAATATATTTATACACATTTAAAGGGCACCTAGGTTACCCCCTTTTCCAGATGTAATATAAATCTATTGTGTCTCCAGAATGTTTCTGTAAAGTTTCAGTTCAACACACATCAGATCTTTTATATTATACCTTTCAGAAGTTTCTATTTTATTGCTCTAACCATCAGGTAGCGTTTTTTTGTGAACTGTGCCTTTAAGGCTAGTCTTTCACGCCCACTGTTTCCACGTGTCTGTCAGCGTGCCTAAAGGCTGATTTAAACTTCTGCGTCAAGCGCATGCGTATGCTACGGCGCAGCCTAGGCGTTAACGCATAGCCCTACGCTGTGGCCGTTGGCATCGCTGACGCGCACCTCTCAAAAAATGAAACTAGACTTTGCGACAACGCGTAGCGCATGATGTTAGGAAGCACTTTCGGAAGTGTTATTGCAGACCAACAGAAACAGCGCGCAGAAGTATAAATGCACAGCTACGTGAGTTGCATGCGTCGATCACTTGACACAGAAGTATAAACCAGCCTTTAATCTTCTCCCTCGGCTGCTTCAGACAACAGACAGACATGAAGGAAGCAGATCTCATGTAACGTTTGTGAGAAATGCTACATTTAGAACTTTACTAAAGAGTATTTGAGTTAAATCGCTATAATTCATTACACACATGCACTGTTCTAAAACACTTTAAACTTTTAAAATTTGCTCTTGATCGCATTTGATGATGATCGATGATCATAGCAAACTGAACAGATCTTTATTGCCGGTTGCTTTGCACACATCATGTCTAGTTGATATAAGCATTACTACAGAGACATGTTAATATGCAGCTGTCAATCAATTTGGTGGGCAGTTCTGTCAAGCACTTCTGTCAAGTTGCGGTCGGTCTCAAAACTGCTTCAGTTGGTCCACCATTTTTATGTTGATAAATTGGAAAAAAATATATATATATCACCCCAATATTACGGTACATACACTATACCTACGCATATGTCTGTCCAAACAGCTTGAAAAGTAGATTTTTCACCATAGGTGCCCTTTAATACATTTAGCTGTCACCACATTGACTGTTTGGCGCCATCTTGTGACTGAATAAAATAAAGGTTAGTGTAGGCTACATTTGTCAGCTTTACGGTTAATAAAAGTATGAATACATTATTACAATATGAATCAATGTTTTTTGTCTGCTTGTTTAGTGACAGAAAGCCATGTAACAAGCAAGTTAAAGTACATCTAGGCAGTTGTTTTTTGCAGAATAAAGCCCCTCAGTCTTATACAACTGACTCAGTCACAAGATGTCAACTGACTCAGTCATACTACTAACTTAATCAAAGAATTGTTCTGTGGAGCAGGCTGCAATTGCAAGAAATATTCATATGTAAACAAAACTAATCTCGCAATTAACTGTCCATGTGGTGCAAACAAACATTGCTTAGTTCCCATTTGAAGCATAAACATTGTATCAATGTTTATCGAATACTCCGTTTCATTTTGTCAAGGCAACATTTTTGATGATAATTGTTATCATTTTATAACCCAGCTATGTACTATACTACTGTAAATAACTTTATACCTGCTTGACTAGCTACTGATGCTTTGTTTTTTACTTTCTTTTGCAGAAAGAGGCCTTAATGGAGCAGGTTGCTCATCAGGCTGTGGTCATGCAGTTTATTCTAGAAATGGCTCGTAACACTCAGCAGGACCCTCGAGGCTGTTTCCGTCACTTCTTTCAGAAAGCCAAAGTGAGATTCACATCTGCAGTCCACTGCAGTGCTGCAGAAAACACTTTCAGTTTCTGCTGGCCTTTTCTTTTCACAATACATTACACGCATCTCTTACTGTACATGAGGGATTTAGCCCATGCATAAGTGTATTACTCCTTGAAAGTTTTAAATAATTATTATATGATTGAATTGTATAACGTAGGGCTGGGCAATATGGCAAAATGCAATCTCGAAAATTATTTTCCACACTGACTGATAACGATAAACAGGTGAAGTCAGAATTATTAGCCCCCCCCCCCCTGTTTATTTTTTTCCCCATTTTCTGTTTAAAGGAGATTTTTCATCACATTTCTAAACATAATAGTTTCAATAACTCATTTCTAATAACTGATTTATTTTGTCTTTGCCATCATAACAGTAAATAATATTTTACTAGATCTTTTTCAATACACTTCTATACAGCTTAAAGTGATAATTAAAGGCTTAACTGGGTTAATTAGGTTAACTAGGCAAGTTACGGTAATTAGGCAAGTTATAGTCTACAGAACAAACCATCGACATACAATCTAAAAAATATATAGCTTAAAGTGGCTAATAATTTTGACCTTAAAATAGTTTGAAAAAAATTAACTGCTTTTATTCTAGCCAAAATAAAAGAAAATACTTTCTCTAGAAAAAAAATATTATCAGACATACTGTGAAAATTTTACTGCTCTGTTTAAAATTCAAAGGGGCGCTTACAATTCTGACTTCAATTGTATTTATTTCGATATAAGTTGTTAGTGCTTCCAGATTTAAAAGAGTACCCCAACAATGACTGAAGCCACAAAAATTAAGAGGGTCCATTAAATGTCATAACATATTTTAAAAGTCATATATTATTATTGTATTTTTATATAATAAAATTCAGTACATCTCTAATATCAACACACTTAGATTCTCATCGTTGCACATTTCTGCTCTTAGATCAATATACAGTACGAAAATTCCAGAGTTTATCTTTGTTATTGACCTCAATTTTATTGCGATACTACATAATATCGGCGCTATGGTTTCGTGATAATAATACCATTTCTTAAACACTATTGATAGTTGGTCTGAAATAATAAATCAATAAATAGTTAAACTAGCATAAATTGTTAATATTACAACTATTATCACAAATGGTGAAATAGGTATTTAAGTATTGTTATTTTCTTGAGATTTTTTTTAATTGGGTTATATTTTATTTATATAACTATATTTTCATATATTTATGAAATTTTAAAAGCTTATTTGATATGTTAGGATTTTTTTAGTGTTTGTATAGTGATGTTTTTTTATTTTCTTCTTGGATCTGTTGCAACGTAATTTCTTTCTTTACAATTTTATTAAGATGTTTTGAATGAAAAAAATAAAGGAAACTGAAACTGTGAATTCTTTTAATATATATATATATATATATATATAAGATGCTATCACACATTACTGCAATTTAATATAACTTTTATGTTTAAATATATTTTAAAAAGTTATTTGTTTGTGATTCAAAGCTAAAATTATGATTTGAAGTTTGCGCTGCCACATAATCCTTCAGAAATTATTCAAATCAAATTGTTTTTTTTCCGTGTTCATTAAACATTGTTCATCATTTCATATCACAAAGAATTCAGTTTCACAAAAATATGGAGACTTTTGTGAGATAATTTCACTTTTCTGCTATTTAAAAGTAACAATAACAATAAATGTTACCTTTGAAATGTAGTGTATACCTTTCCACAAAAATATATAGCAGGACAGCAATTTTCAACACTGATAACAAGTGTTTTTTGAACAGAAAATCCGCATATTAAAACAGTTTCTGGAGGATAATGTGACTGAAATATTTTGGTGGTTTTCCTTACTATCAAGTTATAACTTAATACATTTATTCAAATAATTGTTGCAATTATAATATTTTTTTCACATAAGAACTATTTATTTACAGAAATGTAGACTTGCTAAACATAAACTTTTTTCAGTAATATTAAATGATAATTATTTCAATATGTCAGCTCTACACATTTTATGTTTTTAAATATTTACGTGTTTATATTGCATTTAAGGATCTTGATCTATTCTCTGTTATGTTTGGTGAAATCTAAAATCGAATCATTTGTTAGAAAGTCTAAAGCGGTGTATTATATAAAAACATTATTTCGCTTAGATTTAAATACCAAATGAAATGCTAGAGCAGCTTATTATTGTTTTCTTTTTTGTACTTTAAAATGTATTAATGATATATCATTTCAAATGGCTAAAAATATCAATAAGTCACATCATTACACGTTGACATCAAAATCAGAGCAGAGAGCAATGTCTTATAATGCAATTCAAAAACATCCCAAACGGTGTATTCTAGTGAATCTGAGTCAGTGGGAGTTATGCAATAATGTCAGTGACCACTAGAGTGAGACGTGAATAATGATGACATAACAGACAACAGACACCCAAAGGCCGGCATACAGAGCAATATGGAGAAATATGGTGTTCATATTTGCCCCGAGTGGTTTCTAATCGTGCTTTGCTCTTATTTTAGGCCGGACAGGAGGGCTATTTGGACGTGTTTCACACAGAACTCCAAGCCTTTAAGGACAGAGTTAAAGAGTACACTATGAAATCAACAGGAGAAACGCCAAAGGATACAGTTCACCAAAATACACCGCCAGCCTGTTGTCTCGACCCCAAGGAGGTGTTTGAGTCTTTGCCACAGGTAGGAAGGATACTAACCGTCTCTATTTATATTTCGTATTATTCTCTGAGGTAAACTTTTTGTTTTATCAAGATTTTTACATTAAAAAAAATCAAGTAAAGGGCTATTTTCTGTACTGGTTTATGCCCCTGATCGGAACATGCCATTTGAATAGTGGATTATGGACTGGTGCAACAGTTTAAAACATTTTTCATTGCTTTGCTTCTAAAATTTGATCACAAAGATGGAAAAATGGCTTGTGTCCACTTATAAACTTCTACAAGTACATTTAACACTACATAGCCTCCATAGATTGATACATCATTAATTTTAGGTAAAAATCATCTCTGACAAACGTAGATAATGTCTAGATTATTTTGGCATTCTAAGGATTATCTAATCAGAATTTCCAGTGGTGTGAGGTATGTTGTGTGTGACTAAAATGGATAGTTTAACCAAAAATGAATATTATGTTTTTAATTACAATCCTCTAAGACCTTTGTTCATCTTCAGATTACAAATTAAAACATTTCTGATGATATCTCTGACCCCTTTGTAGTCAACAATGGTCATGTTCATGAGCACCTTGAACTAATGTTTACCCCGGATGTCTATGTGTGACTTCTGTTTAAAAACTTCTGTTTTTTTAACAAAGCAATTAAAATGTTGCATTTACAGGAGCTGAAAACGTGCATCCAGATGCAAGACATGCAGATTCTTCAGAATGTGCTGAGCAGCATGAACCCACAGGTAACGCAGATGTAAAGCAGATCATCCAGCATTCACATTCATTTATGTAAGAATTCTCATGTATCACTAGCTTTTTTTTTTATAGCCAATGTGTTAAACGGCGAATAAGTGAACTTTTAAAAAGAGACCTTCCCCGACCTCCAAGTTTGTTTTTAAAAGCCTTTAGTGGGGCTAAACAATATATTGTTTAAGCATCAATATCTCAATGTTTGTATCTGCAATAGTCACATTGCGGAATTTGATTATTTATTAAAGATTCAAATATAAAGATATTATTATTTTATAATTATTTATACCATTTTATTTTACTTTTTTTGCTTTTACTTATTTTGTTTGCTCCAACACTAATCAAACACACCTGAATATGCCAATTAATGTCTTCATGATGACTAGAAATCTTTAAGCAGGTGTGTTTAATTAGAGTTGGAGCTTAACTGTGCAGGACACCGGCCCTCCAGGACCGAGTTTGCTCACCCCTGCTGATTTCTACATGAAAGACAGGGGCGATTCGTACAGAACTTTCAATTTTTCCAATGTAAACGCACGCTTGATGAACAGGGCTCGAAATTAACTTTTTACTTGGTAGCACCGGTGCTCCCAACTTCAAATATTTAGGAGCACCAAAATAAATTTAGGAGCACCAGAAAAAATTTAGGAGCACCCACCAAAAATGAATGAGCACCGCTGCAAATTGCTTTTTAAGGGATTTATTGTATTTTAAAACAACATCAATAGGACTGACAAAAACCAGAAACAGCTATCTAACTAATGCTGCGAAGACATTGATATTTGTGTGCAATAATTCCAAAATGAATGTCTAATAATTAGGCTATAGAATATTTGTGATGATAAAAAATGACAATAATAGTAACAATGAATTACATTTCTCATTATGATGCTGCCTTGAATGTGCATGACTGTAGGTTATCTGCTTATAAAAAGTCTGTTACTCTATGAAAAATAATTGTATAGTTTGCATCAAACAAAAATGAAGCATTGCAGTAAGAAATATTTATTTTGTACGGCTGTTTTTATATGCATGTCAATTTAATAAATAATATTTCTGCTACAAAACAAACAAAAGATTATAATAAATCATTCAATTCAATGATGAAAGCTGCAAAGCAGTCATCAGTAAATAAATAAAAATAATATACACCTAAAAAAAGAATAGACAAAAGAAAGTAAGTTAAGTCTCACTTCTATCACTCTTTAAAAGTTTTGGTTTCAGTTTGTGTCAATTTAAAGGTTCAGTCTGAGATGATCTTCATTTTTCGGTGTTAGTGGAAAAGCTGGCGAGTCAGCCGACCCAATTTATGAGCAGGCAGCGCAAGATTCTTGCGGTGACCACCGGCGCAATACCGCTCTTTGTTATGAGCCGCAGATTCAGTGTAAACTTAGTAGAGGCGAGCTTCTTTGGCGATGATATGGACAGTATTAGATTTGACTTTTAGCGGACATTTGCGCTGAACACGCAGTGAATGCGACGCATCGAGATTCGGGCGCCTTCTCCAAGAAGCGCGTACTCGATTGATCTCAGCTGGCGGATCATTATTCACCACGTGACGTGTCATGATCGCTCTCATCTGCACCTCAACTTTAGGTGGGGTTTGCAAACCTGTGTGCTTTAAGTTTTTACTCTTCAGCCGTTTGCATTTCCCCGTGGTCATAAAAGCTCCTTCCCTGTCATCTGACAGCAGAATACCGTGAGTGATTGACAGCTAATATGAACCAATATAGCGGCAGGGAAGAGCGATTCAGCACGTTTTTACAAAAAATCAAAACGGGTCGCACTACAACCATTATCTGCAGTCGCACTAATGCGCCCAAATATATTATGAGGTCGCATAGATTAATTTTCGGGCGCATATGCGACCAAAATGGTCGCAATTTCGAGCCCTGATGAATGTTTGAGACCATTATGCTCACCTTTTTTGAAGCGCTGCAAACTTTTTAGATGCTGTATCAAGTTAAAAGAACTTCAACTTTTCCAGAGCTGCTCATCACTGTGAGTTCCACAGAAGTGGACCAGTCAAAAGTACTCAGAGGCTGGATACATTTTTGCAAGTTTGTGTTTACAGGCGCTTTATCTGAATACCTTTGTGCTGCAGTTTTTTTTTTAACAATTCCAAGTGGATGCTTTTGTGCACACATAAAACAAAAGTGACTTTATTCAATGGTTTCTTCTTAGTGTCAATATATTGCGCACGTTCATGAGATCGATGAACGCAGTCTCTGGAGTTTGATCGACATGAAGGAGAGTAATTAATAACAGAATCTTAATTTTTGCCTGAAATAACCCTTTCTGTTGCTGTTTCTTTTCTTGGAATTACACTACATATATTTACATATAAACCTTACCCAAACAGTATTTCCAACTTTTTACATCTAATCAAGGAATAAATCGCATTTAGACGACGCTAGAACAATATTGATTAGTGCAAGTTTTGTGATTGGACGGCTTGGTAGTGGTGACGAGAGCCACGAGCCTATTGGACCAATTGTTTAAAAGTGTCGAGTCCCAGATGGAGCTCCAGATGGAAACTTAAGTTTTGTGTTTACCTTTAGATTAATGTTGTTGCGCATCTGCCAGTTCCCGCCTCTTAATAAGCGAGTTTAGCTACTTGAACATTTAATGTACAAGTGATGATCATGTGACACTGATGAAGGCAGTTGTTTGCAGAAACGTGTGGGTGCTTTTTAAGGAATAGCCATGCAAATAAAAGCATTTTAATATTTGTTCCACATTTTTCGAGTGCCTTGGATTGATTTTTGCTGTTTATTCTGATGAATCATTACACAAAGAGCACCGGCACATTATTTAAGCTATTCCTGAGCAATTTTTGTTTTGATTTTAAAACAACAGGGTCTTCTGCATTTTCAGTTTTTGCTAGTCGAAGATGGAGTAGTAGGGACACAAGGCTGAACCATGCCATAAAGGCGTCTGACTCTCTTTTCTTTGCTACATGCGCATGAATGTAAATTTTGTTGGCTGCAGTTCACTTAATGGCCACCAGCGCTAATAACAAGATTCTCAATGTAGTCATTACCAATTTTGATTCAAGTTATGTGTCATGGCATCGATATTTGTTGCTTACCAATTATTTTGCTCCTACAGCAACCATCACATTATGTCAGAAAATAAATAGGTTATGAAATGCCATTTTGGTCATTTGAATGATTAATAACGGAGTACCGACTACTGCAAAGCTCAGTAAATCATATTGCATGGTCCATTTATAAACTCTTCACCTGTATATTTTTCATCTCAAAGGCAAACTCCATTAAACTGCAAATGCAGTAATGTCACTAGCAAAATAACCTACAGTATCCATGCTCATTTTTCTCATGTCTCTTTTGTAAATGTTGACAGCAGATTTTTCTACCATCCAAATTGGAGATTTCAAAATACTGGCACAAGCTGTCAGTAAGTCTGGTTCTAGCTTTATCAAATGTGCAGCATAGTCAAACACTGTGGCTTCAGGGTCAGCTCGAGGTTAAGATCATTCTTTATGTTTATGGAATGGGAAAGAGTGAGTTAACTTCCTCTAGCACTTTCACTTGTCGCCACAGAAATCAAATGCACTGAACCTGACACACACACACACACAAACACACACACACAGTCAATGAGAGCCAAAGGGCACAGGAAGAATTGCATAACGTCTTTAATCTGATGAGCGCTGCATTCATGCTGACCTTAAATCCCTCCTCTGTCCTGCAGATTGTACCGCTGAGATTAAAGAGAGTTCAAGTTCATTCATATATTCAAATCATATCATATACTCGCGCTCATTTTGTTCCAGACCTATAACAAAAGTTTTTTTTCTGTGGTTCACACTGCTCTTTATATAATCAAAGTAAATGCTTATTTTTAAAATTACAAGAAAAACACAACAATAGTAGTGCCATACAGCTGTTTGTTTTACATTTTCTCGAAAGACATGAAAACCTAAATACAGCAAGTTTGCATTAAAAGAATTCAAATATTTGTAGATTTCATGTCAAATAAATATGACCATACAAATGCGCCAGTCCTTGCCTTTTGTAATACAAGTGTAGTGTACACCGCAAAATGGACCATGATGAACTGATGCAACAGTGTGGTGACTTTACGAGCACGATTCAGCACAGTTGTCTAACCATGCCTACAATACTGGTCTAGTTAGTTAGTTAACTTATCCCCTTAGGGAAATTTCATTTGCAGCATACACTCACAAAGACTTCTGACATTTCACATTTGGCATTTATACAAATAAATAAATCATTTAAAAACTTAAAGTAGCATGGTACCCCTACTCTAAATAAAAATCTAGTCTACTGGCCATCAACTGCTACTGAGAGAGGAGGCATTTTAAAAACGTAATTGCTTGAGGTATACTTGTGTCCTATTTCTTACATATCTGTGAACAATATCAAAGACCTGATGCTAACAATTTGAAGGTGTTGGATATAGGATGCATCTCATGATTGACAATTATGCTATACTCTTTCTTTGTATACACTATCAATGCTCTTTTTCATTTTATTCCCAACAACTTACTTGTTACCACCTTCCCCCCTGACCCTCACTTGGCCTCAGATGCATTTCCATACCAATATTTCCATTTCCATACCAATGTTGCAATACTTTCAATAAAAGCACTTTAAAACATGATCAACATTAAAAGACATTTAAAAGTTTCTTTAAAGGTACATTCTCTGTTGAAGCTTTTTTACTTGTACAGTCAGTCTATACTTCCCACTTAAGTCTATTGTCCAACACCACACCCAATTATTTATTATTTAATACTAATTGAATTTGCTTCCCAATAATGGATGTTAGGCTAAGAGCAGTTTGTAATCGTGCAGCACTCTGTCAGGCTCTAGTGAGAATACAACTAGAACTGTACCCGAACCGTCCATTTTGGCCCAATAAAGTAAAAGTGGCAAAATAATCCTAGTTCTCAGAGATATACAAAAACTAAAAACATTGTGTTATGCAGGTCTGTCCAGTAGGTGGCGATTAGGGATAGTATCATTAAGGTTTTAATGGGATTACTACTTTTATCGATACCACTTATCAGTTCGGTACTTTACCATTTTTTTTATTGGTTTTTTTTTGTCGTTTTTTTTTTTAATAAGAAGTAAAAATAAACTAATTTAACAGAATTATCAACTTTATTATTAGATTTTTAATGTAAAATAAAATTAAACATAATTGTAAAATAATTTTTTTTTTCCTGTAAAAGAATGTACAATGGTTTGAAGGAAAATGACCATTCATCTGGAGAAAAATCAACATGTTTGCCTTTTCTGGCAGGAGTCAGGCTCTTTCTTGGTTTATTGTGCTCCCTGCAGTTGAAAATATCCTCTTTTGAGTTGCTAAATGCAGTTAAATGAGATAATGTTTATGTCTTTTCATTAACGCATTCAGATAAATGAGTTAACAGTGTTTTGGGAGGTAATTGTGTTTTTACTACAGTTTTGGGGCAATTTGCAATGTAAAAACAAGCTGTGTTTTTTAGAATTTCTTAAGCATAGTTTATTAATAGACTATTCATAGGCTATATTGTAAATACAGCTGACGTGAAAGCATTTCTAATGTTTAAGATTTATTTAGGCTACTGCAGAAAAAAATACTGTTTTCATTATAACCGAATGTGTGTGTTTATTTAACTATTATTATTATTATTATTATTATACTAATTTAGGTGATTGACTGCTGACATAACAATGTGGATAATGTAACGTTATCATTAGTATCTAGGCAGTTAAACACTTTTCATTGCAGTTAATGCACTTTAGAAAGATATATTCACTTAGACAGACTGCTTGCGTTTTCGCTTATATAAGAAAACAACTTGTTACGTTTGTTGCAATGGGTATTGTCGCTGTCCACTCGAGAAATACAACTCGTTTAGTTCACTTCGCAAGCTTACAAGCTGTGTGAGCGCGAGCTGCGAAGCTGTGTCGCGAGCTACGTGTGTGTGCTTAGCGCGAACCTTCGCTGAGTGCGCACACACATCCAAGAAACTGTGAAGGCTTTTGTACTTGACACACTCGCTGGAAACATGAGCATTTCTCATGTGAGATTGCCAACTGTGCAGACGATAATTAAATATCACAAATTAGAAAAGTTTGTTTGGGTAAAGTATGCTACTGTAAGTAATGTTTATTCAGCAATAATTCTCCAGTACCGATAGCAGAACTGTTAACATCAGAGCTCATCGATACTTCTGTCTTTTATAATGTAGCACCTATAAAGTACAGAGATTCAGTACACATCCCTAATGGCGATGTTACTTTGTAAAGAAGCTCAATGTATATGCACTCACAGGTTGCCATAGTCCAACATTGTTGATTATAAGAAGTAAAACCAATATAAACATAAAAGCTTGTAGTTTGTCACTTCCCCCTTACTGGATCAACGGTTTTATTCACATCACCCCATACTTCAGTTTCTCATCAAATCGTGACATGCCTCGCTCACGTCCTTTCAAGACGCTTTACAAAGGGGAGGAGCTACACTATGTCCCACCCTCACTTTGTGTTTCATTTCAAAGCATTTCACGGGACTTGTGCTAAACACATTGTTTACACCAATATTTTCTTTAGTAGTTTACACTGAGGCAGAACAAGTATAGATTTAAAAAACCTAAAATTTGAATCCCTTTTTCAATATTGGCATTTTTAGATACCAGTATGTAATTGCTGTGTAAGCAAATAGATCATTCTTTTTTTCTGTTGTTTGTTTCCTCCTTGAAACAAGTGTAAATACACCACAAGTGAATAGAAGAGACTCTTTTCAAAAGCAAAAAAAAAAAAAAAAAAAATATATATATATATATATATATATATTAGGGGTGTAACGATATTAAAACCGAACCGAAATATCGCGATACACCATCCACGATACGTATTGCGAAACTCTCGTGGCGTACCGCGGTACTCTCACGCCCCCTGCGGCCCATTGTTGAGGTTGACGTCACTTGTCTCTAACTAATTGAACCAATTTAAACACATCTTTATTATAATATTTGATTAAATTGTTTTTGTAATGATGAGAATTTGTTCTAAATATTATATTCTAAAGTTAGTATTTTAGTGCATGTTATGTCATGTGACTTGAGTAAGCATCACACTCGTTACTACTGGACGCAGGATGGCTGCTTCACATAGTACTGAGATCGCAGATCCCCCAGACACATTTAAGTCATCTGTGTGGAAACATTTTGGTTTTCCAGTTGGGTACAGGAATAGAATTCGTGTTGTAGACAAAGCGCACGCCTGTCTGTCTTAACTGTTTCACGAAACTTACTTGGAAGGAATAACATTTAAAAAGTGGGGTAATTTCATAATGTGAGGGTGTAAGCAACAGAACTGCCAACAAAAGTGATTTATTGTACAAAAGTAAAACCAGAATAATGCCCAAATATACAAAAAAAGAGAAACATTTACACTAATAAAAATAATATAATGAAGTAACAAATTCAAACAAAAGTATCAAACAAAAATTAGTTAAACTCGAGCAAGGGGGTGATAGTGAAGACAAACAAAAGAAATAAATTTAATAAAACAATTCTAACTCATGAATAACCCCTCTTACCTCGCTAAAACTGATGAAAAGAAAAAAAAAGGTCTTCAGCGCCGTGCGCCGCATTCTTCCATATACTGAATAAAATAAACAAAGATGACCTTCACCTCTTACCTGATGTCTTTAACAATACATTTTCTACGTGTTTGCAAAATGGAAATCGTATGACATTTTCCCTATCCACCTTACACTAAGACTGAACTTGAGGAGAGGCAGCTATATTGTCGGGAAGGAGCGGAGCTAAAAATTAATATACAAATCAATTGATATAAAAATGTACAAACCTCACAAAATTTCTTAAAGTGGGCAAAAGTAATGCAAAATAATTTTACCCAAACGAAAGTTAAACAAAAATCATACGAAAATCATAATCATGTCAGAAAAATACACGAAAAACGAGATCAAAGGAAAAAGCGCTCTCTCTCCCGCTCTTGCTGACATGCTTTTCACCTTCCCGCGCTGTGTCGCCAAATGATGATAGATCGGTCTCCTGACCAATCAGCTGTCAAAAAGGCGGACCTACAGAAATGACAGGCATCAGCTGTCGTGAAGGCGGACCTACAGTACATAAATGACCGGCATAGAGGGAGCGGGAGAGAGAGAGTGAGAGATCGGGAGGCAAACATACAGCCGGCTACAACCCTAACATTAGTTTCAAACACAACCGCAATGTATTTTACTGGTGAATATGTCATGAAAAAACACTTTACAAACACAGTATATGTACATTTTTCATTAATTTAAACGGAAACCTATCTATCTAAATGAAACCATATAATTAAAAATGAGCGTCTGTGTCAGCACAGAGATCAAGCCTCTCATCGGAGAATGTGGATATTATGGTGTTTTTGAAGAAGATCTTTCACTAGTTTACACTGCAGTTATTTATTTAATTTTAGTTTACTTAGTTAAGATGGCTGCACTAAAGAGAATAGTTTTTTTTTCTGACTAGTCTATATTGGAGGTATTTATTTAATTCGAATTGTTTACTCGGGTATCCTGACTGTACTAAAAATGTGATGACAAAGTTAATAAAGAAAAAGTTAAGATGTTCTTGTTATTAAGTGAATTGTCCCTTAGCAATGCTGTTAACATGACATCAACCCTAACCCCACAGCAAACAGAAACCGAACCGTACCGAACCGAACCGTGGCTCCAAAACCGTGAACCGAACCGAATCGTGCCTTTTGTGTATCGTTACACCCCTAATATATATATATATATATATATATATATATATTATATATATATATATATATATATATATATATAGTTTTGCTGAAGGAAAAACAGTTAAGGAAATATTTTAGCAGTTTTTTTATGAGAATTCTAAACTAGGTTTTGGTCACTGTCACTTTCATTCAATGTAAAAGAGCAGCTATGACATTCTTTAAAGTGTCTTATGTTCAACGCATTAAACAGTTTCATTCAGGTTTGGATTACATACAGTAAATGATTAAAAAAAAGTGTTCTCAAATTTATGGTTGAAACAGTATTTTGATCCTCATACTGATCTCTGTGCCACAAGCCTCTTTGGCTGTTATGTATTAACATTTTTCTCATCCCCCAAAGGTGGCAGAATATCATGTGAAGCGTTGCTTGGAGGCAGGACTTTGGACAAATATACCACGAACATCCAAAGACGAGAGTTCAGAAGTGGACGAATGGAAAATGATGGAAACCTAACAGTGAAAAAACACTCAAGACTTTCAATCCATCATCTAACTTTAATAGGAAAGAGGCTTTGAGTCAAGGGACAAGAAGAACAAGGGCTGTGCTCAAAGACTTGTGTTTGGTATCCGTGCCTGATCGTGTGCTGCACTTTATATTTGTTTAAAAGAGAAAGTATTTTAAGGAAACTGTACTTATATTTTTGTGCATATTTTGTTACATTTTGGTTCGGTTGCTGATTGGTTTTATGCAGTTCGAAAGAAAACTAGGAAAGTGGTACGAGTAGACCTTATTGTTTTGTTTTTTTCAAGTAGGTTTTAACCAGTGACATTTAAGAGGACGTTTCTTTTTGGTTTGAATGTTTCGTATCTACACTTCTGGATTGTAATATTCTAGGTCCACCGAACATTCAACTTTAGCTGCTATCTGGGAATTGTTTCATGTGTCATCTGTGTATGGACGCAGCAGATAACAGGCTTTCCTGCTGATAGAGAAACCACACAAAGGCAAGGCAGGACCACCCACTTTGCTATCTGTTTGCTACTAGTACAAACTCGGTTTGCAATGAGAATGGAAATAGCATTTGCCATGAAAATCAAACAATTTAAAGTGATGTGCATTCACTTCTTCGGAATAGGTTGTTATGTTTAAAGTCATAAGTGACAAATGCTGAATAGTTAAGAAAAATTACAAATGAAAAGTATATTCTGTCATTATTTAAAAAAAAAAAGAACACTTTTTTTTTTGAACCCCATTGACTTTCAATATAAAACCAACACCAGGAACTATCCTTTTAAATATCTATTTTAATCTTTCTGCTGATTAAATGAAGTCAAACATGTTTAGAACAACAGGAGGATATATGTAATATCTATTTTGCTCTTTCCATACGGATTTAGAACAACACAAGAATGTGGGAATAATGTCAGAACTATCATGTTTGAATAACTTATCCCTTGCCTAGTGAATGGAGTATGAAAACGACATATTTTGGACCTCATTGAATTTTGTTAAATTATCAAAAAAATATTTAATAGTCAATTTATTTAGCAATGTTCAAAGAAAATAAAGTAATACAATGTTAGAACAACACAACAATGTGGGAATAATGTCAGAATTATCATGTTTGGTTGAACTATCCTCTCATTCAATAGGGACCAAAAACAACATCTTTTGGGCCCCATTGAGTTTCATTCAATTTTAAAATAAAAAAAAGATTAAATTGTCTGTTCCATTTGCAATTTTCAAAGAAAATAAAGTGATACAGGTTTAGAACAACGAATGGGGACGTAAATAATGTCAGAATGTACACGTTTGGGTAAACGAACACTTGAGCTCACACTTTTTGGACCCCATTGACTTTCATTATATGGTAAAAAAAAGTACCTATTTTGTGCTTTACACAGCTTTACAACAGCATGTGGATGAGGAAATTATTAACCTGAAGACTTTTAGTCCCAATTACCTTTCATTATGTGGTTTAAAATCTTGAAATAAGAGTATGCTAAGGAAAATAATGGCTGTTTACATTGTCTATGCCCATAATGAAACATTTAAAAGTTGCCATTTTTGTCTCATCATTAAAGAAAAGTGTGTGATGTCTTTTCATTGCAGTAATTATACCGAAATTGTACAGTTTGCCTTGCTTGTCCTGCCCACAGAACATTTACAGCAAACCCAGGATTTGTGTAACGTTTAACAATGGATGTGATGACATTGTGCAAGTCTTTACAAAAAAAAAAAAAAGATCAAATCTAATAAGTCAGTCTCACAGTATTGCCAATTGCTTGAAATCTTTCATTTTGCAGCGACTGATTAAAATATCTCAGCACTTTATTATTGTTTTGTCTAGTTGTCTGAGTCTGTTGTTTTATGGTGAGGGGCTGTTTTGACTGACAAAACTCTGCTAACCGACTGTAAAAGGAAAGCGGGATCATCTGAACGCTACGTGCTTTTCTCAGCACGTCCACTTAAGAAAAAGAACAAAAGGCATCGGTTGTAAAACTTAACAAGCTTAATAAGTTAATATATGTACAGTGTGAAGGTGTTGTAAGAGCACAAACGTGCAAGATGTGATTGAGAAAGTACTGACATGTTTGTGGTGAAGAAAACGCTCCATTTCTTTTATTTTTCATTCAGGCCTACTCTTTTTTTTTTTTTTTTTTTTTTTTTAAACATGATATATTGGGAATATAGTGAGAATATTTAGACATAAGCTGGCCCACACAGAATCTGCGGGTGCTGAATTCCGCAGATTTTTAGCCTATCATTAATTCTGTTTTTTGAGTAAATGTGTGTAAATTTATTTTTATTCAGTTTTTAAATTAATTTCAGTAATATTATTGACTAATGTGAAAATGTTCATCTGATTTATGTAAAATGCAGTTTGTACAGTAATATTTTCTGTCTTTCAGTATATATATATTTTATGAGAGACTTGCTTTGCTTACCAAATAAAGTGAATCTAATTTTAAACATTAAATAAAAGTTAAAAAATAGTATTTTTTATTTCTTAAAAAATAATAATCTTGTAAATAATCTTGTTTTTTTCTTTTGACGTAAGATTATTTTGCTTACTCCATTGGCAGATTATTTTGCTTGTTTTAAGGAAAAACTCACTTAATATTGGCATATTATTTCTCAAAACAAGACAGTATGTTTTGCTTGTCCAGAAAATTCTTCTTGATTTAGAAATTGTTAAATATTTGGACTAGAAACAAGACAAAAAATCTAAGTAAGATAAGCATTTTGTGCGGTGTTGAATTATTATTTTCTCCTTCTTATATTCTATTTATGACTTATTAGTCGTGCAATCAACCTTTTGTGCTAGTTGAAGATGTGTTTGGAAGCAATTCGTAACATTTTAATAATATTTTGGCAAATTGAACCAAATGAACGAAATGACTCGAAAAAAGATTTGTTCATCTTGATGAACGAGACTCAAAGATCCGAGTCAGTAAAATGATCCGAACTTCCCATCACTAGCCGTCGCGCACCTCTCAAAAAATGTAACTACATGTTGCAATGACGCGTCTTGCAAGCTCTGTGATTGGTCGGCTTGGTAGCGCTGACAAGTGTGGGTGGGTTTGAGCGCAGCCCTGAATGAGCTCCAGATGTAAAATGTTGTTTTTTGTTAACCTTTTGATAAAAGTTGTTGCACGTCTCCCCGTTTCCGCCTCTGAATGAGCGAGTTTGAGCTACTTGTACATTAAGGTACCATTCAGAAAAATCAAAACACCAGCAAAGAAACTCGACACAGAGGAACATAAAAACCTCACTGCCAGCTAGCAATTCAGAAGTGTTATTGCAGAGCAACACAAACAGCACGAAGAGTATAAGAGTCATGCCAATCACTCGACGCAGAAGTATAAACCAGGCTTAAGTCTCACAGTGTTAACGTAGCCTAATAGTCTTGATCTGCAGTCTTTTTAATACCTTTAAAACTTTACAGACAAACATCAAACAATTACCATTTATAATTGCAGATGATAAATATTCCACAGCCCTGATTATACTCAAAAATCTGGAGCTGTTTATAGGATTTACGAACAAAACATTTAAGAATCAAGAATCATTGTGTTTATTGCAGTTGTTTCAAAGGAAATAAACAAAACTCTTATATCTGATCAAGATGCATTTAATAATTTATCCATTATTCGAAAGCAGAATTTTCAGTCACTACAATTTAAACAGTGATTTGCAAATTGTACCATACAATTAAATGATGAAACATCGCTTTGCACTTCATTTTTTGTGGCCAAGGACTCACAAAACAGTGGATGATCAGTACAAATAAGTACACATTTTCTAAAAATCTCATTCCCTTTGTTAAATTTTGTATTGTATCATACAAAAGTCTTTTAATTAAAAATACATCATTTGTGTATATCAAAAATATCTCTAATACTGTTCATTCAAATGATCCATGATCATTCATCAAACATCGACCCATACAATCTTAATCACAATGTTTTTTTTGCTAATAAAGGCCATCATGGTAAAAATGAACAATACTTTATAATTATATTTGTGTCTACATTCATCTGAAAAATGTTCAATATCTTTCTGTAGTTTGCACAGATTTGGGTAGCTTTAAAAACTCATTACATAATGTAATAAAATAGGTTGCTGCTTTAAATTTCTTAGGTTAAAATGTCTTAAAACATCATGTTAAATCTTTTATTGCCCATGAAGATATTTTGTGTTACTTTAAGCAATCATAATGAGCTATTTTAACTTCATATTAAAGCTATATCAGATTTAACTTGATGCTTTAAGCCAAACTTTAAAACACTTTTCTAAATAATTGGATTTAAAAAATAAAAGCCGCTACTCATTTTCACAGACTAGATATTAAACAGGAATGTTTTAGATCTGCCACTTCATGGCATGGGCACTTAAAAAGGATTAATTTTGTAGTCAGTTATTAATTTCCATATTCCTAGAACACTAAAAACTACTTTGTCTAGAATGGCAGGAGTGACTAGGTCTAGAAATAAGTTTGACCATAAACCTCCAGTTTGGCACTAACTGTCCCACAAAGGCATGAAACCAGAGCAAAGGTTTGATCATGTAAGTGTTGTAACTCCAGATACAGTAGAGGCCTCAGAGGTGCGTTGTGCTCATATCTGACCGTGTAAAAAAAGTCTGAGAGGTTTTCCGTCAATCAGGCTTTCCCCATGGCCTGCTTATGTCCTGGGATCTTCCTGCTCAGGAAGGTATGAACGTGAGGCCATATTTTGTTGGTTTCGGTTCCTGAAAATGTCTCCAACACTCCTTTACTCCTGTTTAAGTAGAAGCAGAGACCATTGTAGCATGTAATAGAAATGTCTAAAAATAAACATTTTTCTGAACCAACATTGGAAAAGCAATGACAACTGAATTTATGTAAAGCTGATTTTTTTTTTTCAAATAGTGGGTTTATAAGGGAAATGCAAGGATTTTGTGAGTTGATGAAAAGTAATACTTAAAATCTGAACATAATCAACGTTTACAATATATATGTAGATGTTGCTGGCACATATTGTCAGTCTTCAGGTGAATAATTAATCCTTGCAAGTTAATCTACTGATAAAAACTGTTTGTTTTGGTAATCTTCAATCAAAATCAGAGCATGTGCTTCTGCTGTGGAATGGCATTCCTTCTCTAAAGACGTCAGTTTGACGGCTATGTTGAAATGTACTTAGCCTTTCCCCACCAGCCATCAGTTTGCTGTGAGTGAAAGATTTGTAGAGAAGCGCAACAATAAAACCCCTCCCCCTTCTTAATATTCTGTTTATGTTAAAATGCGTCATCATACTGAAAAAATTCTAGTTAACACTGACTTTAAAGTCAAATTGAACCAAACTTAACCGAATAAGACTAAAAAAATGGCTTTGTCCAGCATTGAATATTTCCATACTACAGTGGGGGAAATAAGTAATCAATACATCACCATATTTTCAGAAAACATATTTCTAAACGTACTGTTGACTTGATAACAACCAACGAAATCCATATACGCAAAGAAAATAAATTTAATTAGGTTACAAATTAACTTATACCTAATAAAGTAAAATGGCACAGGGAAAATGTAATGAACGCACGAAGAAAGAGGTGTAAAAAGGCAGTGAAAGCTCAGACAGCAGGTAAAATCTCTCAGTAGTTCTTCAGCAACCCCCTGCCCCTCGTCATTGTAAATGAATATTAGCAACTTCAGTCAAACATTTACATTAGCAGGAGGATGAAGATGAAACAAGGGTGGACATTTCAGCAATGATCCAAACACAGCCAAGGAAACTCTCAAATGCTTTTAGAGAAAGAAATTCAAGCTGTAGAATGGCCAAGCCAATCACCTGACTTGAAACCAATAGAAAACACAAAATAAAGATCAGATTTGATAGACCAAAGAACCATCAAGATTTGTACACTGTTGAAGTCTCACAGCTCACACCTGAGCAAATCATGTGTCTTCATTTTCCAATAGAGGGACATCTTTAAGCTGCCCAAAAAGCCTTTTAAAGTATTAAACATGTTTCAGTAGTTTAGATCTTTCTCCTTGTGTCATTACATTGTTATTACACAAAACTAATTTGTCAGTTTTTCTATTAATTTTTTTTAATATTTGTTTTGTTTGGATTTTTGCCTAAATTTGGTTTAACAGGTCCTTTAGAAATATTATTTCTAGGAAAAAACAAGACATGTGGAATACTTTTTCTCCCACTGTATATAGTATGTTGAAAACAATATGCCAGCCAAATGGTATGTCCAAATTTACAGTATTCGAAAAACAGTATGAGAGAAGTACCCAAATGACCAACTACTGCTGACGAGATTATGAAATTTGCATCTGATTGACGCTACGCTATCCCAGCAAAAAGATGGACGCAGTCTATGACCGCTACTAAAAACAATAAGATGCGTAAAATACCAGTATAGTAAACATTAACACATGGTAAGACCTGAAATATTGTATACATTAGGTTTGGAATATGTTAATGTCACTTTTACACTTTTACTATATGAAAAGAGCAGCATGAACGCTCATCTAAATATCTTCTTTTTGGTTTCCTCTGTAAAAAAAAAAAAAAAAAAAAAAAAAGTCACAGACTATAAATACCTGTAATACTCCAGAACTGGCTGTGTTTGTCTCTCGTAGTCCTTCAGTCTCCTGGACACAGTTTCAGGACTGTCATCATCTCTCTGGACCAGCGGCTCTCCTGTTACATCATCAAGACCCTGAGCACAAAACACAACACTCATTATCATCCGTACATGCATTCATAACAACACTCAAAAATGAACATTTACTCATTATTCAATATTCAGTCACCCTCCAGTGGTTCCAAATCACTTTGATACACAAAAGAAGATATTTTGAAGAATGTCAGTAACCAGTAAACATTTCCTTCCATAGCAGGAAAAGTAAATACTATGGATATCAATGACTACCAGTATCCAACATTCTTCAAAATATATTCTTTTTGTTGAACAGAAGAAAGAAATTCTAAGTGGTTTATAACAAATAAAGGGCGAGTAAAAATTTAATTTTTATTTTAAATGAACTATCCCTATAAGTGTTAAAACTTTAAACTGTCCAATATGAACACCTCAACAATGGTGCTTCAATTGTTTATATATATTGAATATTAGTCAGCGGTGAACTGCAAACCTAAATGCAGGTAACCTTCAGATACACAGCTTGGTGTTGACATAAGCTTGAACTGTATTTGCGCAAACACTGCAAACACTCTTTCACACTTGGCTGCTTCTGTATTAGTTGAACACACACTGAAAGGTCTTGAGAGGTGCATAAAATGACTGCAAATATGACAGAAATGTAAAGGTTTGCAGTTCATAAGACAAATAACAGTTTTATAACATCTTCCATACAGTAAATCAGTTTGATTAAAGGCTCATTTTATGATTAAATACCAGCCACTGTGCTCCTAACGAAATGATAAAAGCTTTTAATCTAATTAATAGATATTAAACCTCTTAATTAATAGGCTACAAAGTCATGGATGTTGGTGGTTTGCAGTGAGTCACAGTTCAGACTAGTGTTGTCACAATACTGGAATTCGGTAACAATCGATACTGAAATTTTAAAAACATCAATTTCCCGCTGACATTTAAGTTCTGTGGAGCACGTTCTTTAACAGCGCTGATTTGCCATTGTGTTCACATGCTCAACAGAAAACACTTGATTGGCCATGAAGTTCATCAGTTCACCAAACTCACTGCTGTTTACTAAGTGTAACCACAGATACAGGGACACTGGAGCATTTTATAGTCGCTAATCGGTTTGACTTTAAAACACTGCAGTATCACTGTATCTGTGTGTCCTTGTATCTTTTCTGATGAGCATGTGAATAAATAAATAGCTTTTAGTATATGTATTGATGTACAGTAAATAAATAATATTAAATAAAAATGTACAAGCTGTTAATAATCTGTATATAAAAAAGTAGTACCCAACAAACAACTATTAATATGTAATAAATAAGAACTTGTATCTAATTAATAAAATACTTGAAGGTAATAAATTCAAACTAGAATGTACATATTAATTACAAGAATCTAAATTAACAAAAAAGAACTAATATTTAATGGTAAATATGTAATAAGTAGTACAAGCTAGGAATGCACAATATATCGGTGACAATATCGATATCGGCCGATAATTGTTTTTTTAATGTTATCATTATCAGTACCATATCAAAACTAAGCCGATATCTTTAAGCCGATAGATTATGTAATTGCCTGCCTTGTGCGTGGGTTGAACTTGTTTAGTGCAGTATAACGGAGCTTTCCTCACATTGTTTATTCCTTCAAAGTATGTCGTTTCTTTATGTGTTATTGCTGCACGTTAATAACTTCATAAGAAACCATATTTCTTATCATTGTAGATATGTTTGAAAGAGTTGTTTACAGTATAAAAATATAACATTTTGAACTATTTATATTTATCGGCTAATATATCAGTTATCTTAAGTGTTATCAGTTATCGATATCGGTAAAAAAATCCATATTGGTGCATCCCTAGTACAAATCAAAAATATAAATAGTAAAGAAATAAGTGCTTCTACCAAAAAATAACTGCTAGTTTATAAGCATGTGCAACACAAAAATCTGAAATCTGTTGCTAGTAATAACAGAATAGCTACTAGTTCTACTAAAAAAATACTATTAGTACTGCTCTCCAACAAAAAATGTCATGATTATCTGAAGCAGAGGCTCCTCCCTCTTCAGGGAAGGGGGAGGGGAGGAGCAGCTCATTTGAATTTAAAGGAACACGCACAAAACAGCACATCTCAGCTTTTATCATTTACAGTACACTGTGAAGAATAGTCTTCAAGGTATTTTAAGCTGACATATTCTGAGGATGGCTGGAATTTATATTACATCTTGTAAAAAGGAGGTAATAGTTCCGCTTTAAGCAACATTTATGCAAATGTTCAATCCTAGAGATTTATCTTCCCTCTGGCAGTGTTTAATTAATGCACAGGAACTCCTCAACATGCTCCAGTTTTATTGCACACATGAGAGCAAAGTTCCTTTAACAAATTCCTCAGCACACAGAATCCGTCTTATCTGTCAGGTTGTGAAACGCCATGACCTACTTTTACCACACTCTGAACTCCTTACAGGTTTAACACATGCATTTAAATTTCAATTCAATTAAATTTATATCACATGATACATTTGAAACACTTACTATTGATATAACTATTGCTTTTTTATATTAGTATAGCTTTAGTACATATCCTTAAATAAAACTGATTATTAAGAATAATTCTGTGGTAATAAACAGTGTTTTGAAAGCTTTATCCACTATAGTGATTAAGTTTAATTATTAAAAGTGGCAATAAATATTTGGGGGCTTAACTGTGATCTTAGGTGGTGTATTTGAATATATTTTATCAAATGACTCTTGCTCTAAGTGTGCCTGACAAGATTTTATGGTATATGAGCTAGAGCTGCATGATTCTGGCTAAAACGAGAATCAATTTATTTATTTTTTGCTTAAAATAAAGATCACGATTTTCTCACAATTGTGTGTAAAATAAAACAACCCAAGCTCCTTCTGAAAACGTAGCTCCGTGGACGTTTCTGGAGACCGCGATTTACGTGCCCGGAGGTACGTATGGCCACATTTGGTTTTTTCGAGCGAACGCTACAGGGCGGTGTGATGCCGTCCTCTTCTTCGCGATCGCCGGCTGTGACGGCTCACCTCCTTGTGGAGGGCTTTCCAGTATGTCTGCTTAGCTTGTAGTGTTACGTCGGCAGAACGGAGGAAAAGCCAGCCGTGGCGACGACCGGGTTAGAGTCCGGGGAAGATCAGTTCCAGAAATCCGGTAGGATGAAAAACGGATTCCAAAAAATAAAAGCGAACGAGTTCGTGACGGGGCGAGAATGCGGCGAAATCCGAAAATGCAGACAAAATCGGACAAGGGCTTTTGCTTTTCTTTTCTGGACGGCTTTTGTAAATTGTCGCTTGGGTTTAGGGAAGGAGGAGGAGGAGAAGGAGGGTGGCTGGGTCGACCAATTGGCCGGCCGCCCGGTCGATCGTTCAGTCATTTAGTTCGTCAGTCGGACAGGCAGTCGCTCGACAGCGACCTTCGGCAGCTTTTCACGCGAGAACAGCACAGACGCGAACAGCGCGAACTCCCGAGAGGCGTTTGAGACGCAAAAAAACGTGGCACAGCGGCCTCTCGCGGATTAGGAAAACACAAAACTGCGCAAATAGGTACCTCCCGGGACATATTTCGCGGCATCCAGAAACGTCCGGGGGTCATTATTATGCACTTGCAAAACAAGATTTCGTTTTATTTTTATTTTTTCAAAATAATAACTTTATATCTCAAAATTTTTTATTTCATTGCACTGTCCTACACTGAAACTACTGAGATTTGTATCATTTCTGAGAATTGAAGCATTCTAAGACATTAAATAAACAAAGATGCAATTCTGAATATTTCACGCAGTTCTTAGTTTACGTCTTGCAGCTCCTTATTGTATTACAAATTACAAAGAAATAAAGTAAAAAATCTTAAATCAAACTCTGAATTGTTAATAAATAAGGAGTAACACATTTACATGCAACACATTAACTTGAAATTCCAAGAAAATAAATTTAAATAAATATCATTTGGAGAAATCAATTCAAACATGCAAAATGTGAATTCAGAATTGTGAGAATTTTTTTTTAAATGCAAGATACAAACTCTGAATTATGAGGAATAAAAGTCAGCATTGCAAAATACAAACCTGAAACTGCAAGACGTAAATTACAACTTTATGAAAAATATTAAGCCAGAATTGCATGATATAAAATTTTATTATTTAAATGTAAAATTTGTTAAAACTAAAAAAAAAAAAAAAAAAATGTAAAATGTACAGTAAAAACAGCAGCTGTGGTCGGCCTTAATAATACAGTAGGAATGTAAAATAAATTTCTACATTTTACGTTAAATTACCATGTTTCATTCTTATTTTTCATATTACAACAATGTTTTAAAGTAATGACATCTACACAACTTACTTTGTTACACAGACAAAAACGGAAACATAGTCAGATGTGGATAAGACAGTCATAACCAAAGCTTATAGCAAACAACATACTCCCACAAGCAGACAAGAGACATACCAATATATAGAAATTGCTCTACTAAACACCATCATGGTAACACACATAAATTAAAGTAATGCAATAAACATTATTCATACACATCAGATAAAACATAAAACTGTAATGTGAATAACTACAAAAACTAAAACTAACTATAGTAATGTCAACAAAAAAGAAAACAATGCAGGGAATTCAAGAAAAATTAATGGACGGTAATTCACCATGTATATTAAGGAAATTTACTGTTAAACAGGTTAAAGATTTCTGCAGTAGCATTTTTACTGTTATTTTTACCATTGAAATTATGCACATTTTTTACACTGCAGAATTTTACAGTGTAAAAAAGTCAGAATTTGTAATTATTTCATGGCAGACACAAACTTTCATAACTTTCTTTTTATTCCCCATTTAATTAACAGTATCCTGATGTTCTATTAAATGGGTTGTAAACATGCACTTACTGGTTTCTTGGGTGGGTTAAAATCTATATTATAGACCCTGCCGCTGGGAAGATGCACCCAGCGAGATGTCAGTCGCTCTCTGATAGTCTGGAAAGGCACGTCCAGGTTGATTACAGAGTCCACATCATACACACAATCCAGAGCCTCAGCCTGAGCTACAGTACGAGGAAACCCTGCCGGAACAGAGGCTCACAGTAAGAGGCAATCCTCATTTAACCACACGATTTGTCAATAATAACAGGAATAGTAACAGAAATAGTACATCCCAAACTGACAGATTTTTACAGACTGTTCAGATATTGTAATGTTCATTTACGGGTGCACTGTTCATTTAAAGGACGACCCTTCTGGAGAATGGGTAAAAAAAATAATACATTAAGTTATCATCATTCTGCCTCTAGTTTATTGAATACATTAATTTAAAATCATTGTTAATTGAAGTAGTTTGTTTAGATTTTAATTGTTTAAGTTGTATGAATATGCATTTATTTTTTTGTAGGGATAGATATAAAATAGAAAAGGGAAGGCTACTCAGTTGTTTACAGTTTTAATAAGCATATTAAATGACAATTTAGTTTCACCAGTTTTCTTAATGCAAACGAGACTGTTTAATTAAATGTGATCATTTGCATACAATTGTACTACAAAAATATATGGAATACTGAATTTCTTTGTCTCATTAACCAATTCAAAAGTGTTTACCAAGAGGATTTTAATAATCTTCTTTTATCACTCCATAATTCAATTATAGTACAAGCATAACATCGGCATATACTGTAAACATAACATTAATTAAATTAATAAAAAATTAATTAATAATAATAACAAAAACATTTTTTGTAGACTAAAATATGTAGTAAATATTCGGACAAATCATTTATGGAAAATTTGCCTTTTGGCTAATTCTGGTGCATTTGTTAGCTATGTTAATTAATGTAAACTGTCCCTGCCAAATAAACTAATAAATAAATGATAGTATGAAAATTAAAAAAGCTCAAAATCTTATATCGAACAGTCGTACAGTGTATTAAAGCAGTGGTTTGGCCTGCTGTGTCTGCCCTTAAAAAGAGCATGTTTGTTTGGGTGAGAGAGTCGTACCGTCCAGTAGCCAGCTGGTCTTCTCTAGACCCCTCAGACTGGACAGGATGAGGCGAGAGATGACATCATCAGGAACCAACTGACCTTGATCAATGCATGACTTCATAAGGAGACCCAAATCTGCCCAGATGCAGAACAGACGATCGGTCATTAGTAACATTTTAATATAAAAGGCAAAGATTTGATTATGCCTTTTACTTATTTAATGACTATTACAGATGTTTATGTAAAACATATACACATTTTAGATTTATATTACAGTGATATATCTGATAGATAGATAGATTATTTGATGTTGAAAAATGCAGTAAAATTGTGCTTTACCAAGACAAACATGAATAAAATATTAAAATTTATTAAAATAGAAAACAGATCATTTCTGTTTGAAAAACATTTTACATTATTAGTGTTTTTACAATATTTTTGAGGGTGAGAAACTTACTTCAAAACATTAATTTATCTTACCATACTGACCACAAAAGCAATGTCCGTGTATTGCAATGGGTTGACCAAAAAATATTTAAAAAAAACACAAATTAATTAACCTGTAGGAATCTGCCACAACCTTAAATGATAATTTAAAATTGCATACAATCTATTTCATTTATCGCCTGCTTTTTCCACATGCCAAGAGTCAAAACTTTGAGTTTTGCACCATTGAAGTAAAAACAATTTATTTTAAAGTTTTCTACCTAAGTAAATGTATCTCAAAAAATATAAGGTTATTAATTCAAATCAACTAGTCGGCCATTTGTTTCATGTTAGTCTCACTGTGGTGGACGGTGAAAGTGAACTGATGCTGATGAATCACACAGCTGTCTGTCACACAGCATCTGGCAGACTTTTGGAGGAGTTCGCAAACAAGCTGTTTTCCAGCTCAGCTAGTCCAAAAATAAACAAAGTTTTGAGGAATTCTGTAATACTTCACTAATATATACAGTATAATCCTGCAAATATCGGAATGTTGGAGCATTCCCAACAATTTACTATGAAACGCAGACTTGGGTTTTTAGTGTGATTTGGAGTCAGTTCATTTGTAGTAACTCAGGTTTCTGTCTCGTTTAGTATGCAGGGAGCATTCCTTAAAGAAACACATCACCCTTAAAAGCAGCAACCCCCATTAAAGCACGTATATGTGACTTTTCGGAAAGAGAAATGACACAAACAAAAAGCCAGAGTTAACCATCAGAAAACACTGTAGCTAATGCCTTTTCCAGACCGTGTTTACATCAGCAGAAGAAGAAATGCTCGATGTCACACAAGGCGGGCGTGGAAATAAATATCCGTTTCGTTGTTAACTCTTTCGTGCATTTTCAAACAAAAATGTACGAAAAACTGCGTCTAAAAACCCAGCGACCTGCTTACATCCACCTAAACTGTTATTTTTTAGACGTGCTCACTCAAAACATCGCTCCAAAACTGCTCTCTAGACATAGAACGCTGACGACGTGTTGAGACGCAGCCAAAGTTTGGACTCGCTTCAAGTGATGAGAAACGTGTAATTATATATCCTGCAGAGCATAATGATACGTCTCTTACGTTTTATAACCATTTTAATCACCTTAACCTGCGTTAAGGAAGTTAGAGTAACGTTACTTTTACAGCGAATAAAGGTTACTGCTCGCATGTATAGTCGTTAATGTAAGTACACTAGAAAGTGCTGGACTTGTCTTACCTGTCTTGGCCTCGATATTGGCCCTCAGCATGTCTCCACTTGAGAGATGCTTCAGGCCGAAACTCTGCGCTATCCGGCTTGACACAGTTCCCTTCCCAGAGCCCGGGGCCCCCATGATTACCGCGCGGAACACGCTTTGCAGACCCATACTTCAATTTCACTGAAATGCAGCCTTTAGTAACTATTTGACAATGTGCAATTTAATATTTCCTAGTCACAACATCCCTCCTATATGTGCAGTCCTGTGGAATCTCTGTTGCGGTGACAGGTTTTAGGGATGCACGGTCTTCTGTGCGGTTAAATCGACAAATACGCAACTCCACAGTTTTATTCCCAGATTAAGCCCGTCCTTTTCTGATGCACGCGCATCTCGCGTGCACGCGCCTGAGACGCGCTCACATTACAGGAAGTGCTTAAGTGGGCGTGTAAGGACACTTGCAGTAGTGCACACTACAAAGTGATTGATACCACTACATATTAGGCTTAACTAAGATAATAATAATAATAATAATAATAATAATAATAATAATAATAATAATAATAACAACAACAACAATAATAATAATAATAATAATTATTATTATTATTATTATTATTATTATTATTATTATTATTATTATTATTATTATACCTAATATTAATATATTGTTAATATTAGTTATGTTTAGCATATTTGACGCTAAAACTTTCTTAGTAGGCTACAGGCTTGCAGTTGGAAGGACATCCGCTATGCAAAACAGATGCTGGATAACACAGATTGTATTATTGTAAGAGTTTACTAAGCAAATATATGCTAGATATTGGGAAAAAAAAGTATAGTATGTGACTTGGAAGAAACCATTGTTCATCTTTTTTTGTGAGAGTACAGTTAAAGTCAGAAATATTAGCCCCCCTTTTAATTTTTTTTTATTTTTTTTTTTTGTTTAACAGGGCAAGTAAACTTTCACAGTTTATCAGATAATATTTTTTCTTCTGGAAAAAGTCTTATTTGTTTTATTTCGGCAACAATAAAAGCAGTTATAATTTTTTTAAACACAATACTTTAAACAAATTTTTTTCCCGATTGTCTACAGAACAAACCATCATTATACAATAACTTGCCTAATTACCCTAATCTGCCTAATTAACCTAGTTAAGCCTTTAAAGGTCACTTTAAGTTTTATATAGAAATGTCTTGAAAAGTGTCTAGTTAAATATTATTTACTGTCATCATGACAAAGGCAAAATAAATCAGTTATTAGAAATAAGTTATTAAAACTATTATGTTTTAAAAATGTGTTTAAAAAATAATCTTTCCAATGAACAGAAATTGGGTAAAAAATAAATGGGGGCTAATAATTCTGACTTTAAGTACTTGTGTGAAAGTATTGTGGACAGAACTATATATCTATCACTCAGAAAAGTTAAAGGCTGATATTTGTTTAAATACTTTTGAGATAATTTTCTTTTATTACAACTCTAAATCTCGCATTCAGTGCATTGTTAATCTTCTTATTATAATGGGTAAGTGTTTTATTCACAAGTGTAAATTTTTGGGAAAAAATCAAATTCTGGCTATTTTTAACGGACTATAAGTAATATATTGTGTCTTTAATGCGCATAAAAAAACAAAAAGTCAAAAATGGTTTTCAATGTATAACCTCATGTAATTTCTCTTCTGGTCTTATTTATATTAAATATAATATAATATTATTTAAATATAATATTATTTATATTAAATATATTTATTTAATTTATATGTTTTATTCCTTTTTCTCTCTTCTTTAAACTGTGTTATGCAAATTGTAACAGCATTCTAAAAAAAAAAAAAAAAAAAAAAACATATGCTGGAAATGAAGGAAGCCGGAGGAAAATTAATGAATAAATATTGGTAAAAAAATTTTGATAAAACAAAACAGAAATTATTAAAATAAATTAATTAAAATAAAATGTGTTTATATATACACATTTTATAGATGTATGTATATATGTTCAGATATATAGAACAATTGTTTCCTTTCCTGAAAAGCTAACTGAATTGTATGGAAGTGAAACCTGCAAAAGCAATAAGTAAATAAATATGCAAATAAATAAATTAATTAATTCATAAATAAATAAATTAATTAATCCAAAAATTCCTGCATAAATAAAACTATAAATAAACATGGAAATAAATGAATAACTAAGAAAAAAAAAACTAATTCCTGCATAAATAAACATTTAAATAGTTCGGGCAGATTAATAATTAAATAAATTAAACAGATGTTGGGGGAAGAAAATGCGAAACTAAAAGTAGGTTTTCCCCTTTCACATAGTGAAATATATATGTTTATTTATTTATTTGCACATTTATTTATTAATTGTTTTAGTTATGCAGAGATTTGCATGTATATTTATTTATTTATTTATTTATTTATTGTTTTATTTATGCAGAAATTTGTGCATATATTTTTTCATTTATTTATTTATTCAGGAGCGACGCAGTGGCGCAGGTAGTGCTGTCCCCTCACAGCAAGAAGGTTGCTAGTTCGAGCCTCGGCCGCGTCAGTTGGCATTTCTGTTGAGTTTGGATGTTCTCCCCTTTTTCGTGTGGGTTTCCTCTGGGTGCTCTGGTTTCCCCCACAGTCCAAAGATGTGGTACAGGTGAATTGGGTAAGCTAAATTGGCCGTATGTGTGTGAATGAGACTGTATGGATGTTCCCCAATGATGGGTTGTAGCTGGAAGGGCATCCGCTTTGTAAAATATATGCTGGATAAGTTGGCGGTTCATTCCGCTGTGGTGGCCCTAGATTAATAAAGGGACTAAGCTGAAAAGAAAATTAATGAATTAATTTATTTATTTGCATATTTTTATTTGTTGTTTTATGCAGGAATTTGTGTATATATTAATTAATTTATTTATTTATTCATTTGCATATTTAATTATATATTGTTTTAATTATACAGGAATTTTTATATTTAGTCATTCATTTATTTGCGTATTTAATTATTTATATAGTTTTATTTATGCAGGAATCTGTGTATATATTTATTTATTTATTTATTTATTTGCATATTTATTAATTTATTGTTTATTTATGCAGGAATGTGTGTATTTGTTCACTTATTTATTGTTTTTGCAGCTTTCGTCCTCCATCGAATTGTTTGTATAGGTAAATTAAAATAAACACAGATCTAAAACTCATTCATTCTTTTTCTTTTCAGCTTAGTCCCTTTATCAATCCAGGGTCGCCACAGCGGAATAACTGCCTACTTATCAAGCATGTTTTTACGCTGCGGATGCCCTTCCAGCCCCAACCCATCTCCTGGAATAATCCACACACTCATACACTACGGACAATTTAGTCTACCCAATTCACCTTAACCGCATGTCTTTGGACTGTGGGGGAAACCAGAGCACCCGGAGGAAATCCACGCAAGCGCAGGGAGAACATGCATACTCCATACAGAAATGCCAACTGACCCAGAGGTAGTGAGGCGACAGCACTACCTACTGCACCACTGTTTTGCCAGATCAAAAACTAAAATAGACAATAAAATTTAATACAAAAAAATATGTCAAAAAATTATAAATAAAATGTACAATTAAAAAAAATTATGTTAACATAAACTCTGCAATATTTAAAAAAATACCAATACAATACTGACAAAATAATACTATTAACAAAAGCTATACTTAGATTTTTATAGGCTATTAATAATCAAAAACATATCATAATATAGGCAACAATGTGTTAAAATGTGTAAGAATTATTTTGCCCTTAATAGGTGTTATATATAAACAATACAATAAGTTAATCATGATTACGTGCAATAATCCTAAACCAAATCCTATCCCTATAGTTAGCACAATAAATGTACACAATGGTTATAAAATACAAAGTATATCCAAACTATTAATCAATCCAAATGAATATGTGCTTAATGTTTTGATGGCTCTACCAGTAAATACTCTTTCCTACTCAGTAATTAACTCTAAAGTGAACCTAATGTGCCCGAAACAAAACAAATGCTGCTGAGTTATTATGCAATCATTGTGATTATGTAACGTAAGTTAGTCAGACTAGCTTCTTCTCTAATGGGCTTCTGGAGCTGAAACATTATCTGAGCTTGATTCAATCATCACTCAGTGTTTCATCTTACTGATTTGACGTTTTCTTGTGTGTCTTTTGGTTCAGATGAATCACAGAGAGTCGTTCATCCCCCAACTCTTGACCAAATCACCATTTAGCAGCTGACTAATGATGGACAGCAGGGGGTTTTGGTAAGTAAAAGTAGAAGGGAGATTTGTTCTCTCTGTTGAGATCTAGAACAATAGAGATCCTTCAGCACCAGGACACAATGACAGGATTATGCAGATGCTAATGTTCTGTGCATGTTAGATTACAATGATGTGAAGGGAGGGGCAAACTTAACCATCAAGCGAGGTTAGCAATAGGTTAAATAGAGGGGCCCCGACCAACGCCTAGAAGCCTATAATAATAATAATGCTAAAGCTAGTTTATAATTTTTCCATTATATATTGTAAACCATTAACATTTCGATGTTATTACTTCTTTTCTAAACCGAGGGCCCCCTGAATAGTGGAATGTGCCTACCGTACTACACATGCAAAAATTAAAATCTAATCACAAATTCGCAGACTGGACATCTTGCTCAAAGAATAGCCAAAAGCTAACCTCCAAATTCATCATTTATGTACCGAACTCAAAAAGATAGACTTCAAAGAACATTCACGCCACTCAAATCACTGTATACTTTTGTTGTGTTAAAAAGAGCAGCGTGAACATTGTTTTAAATCTCTCCATTTGTGTTCCTCAGGAGAAATCAGATTATACAAGAGTAAATGATGAGACGGTAATGTTCCTTTTAACCTTCCACTCAAAAGGGAGCTGCTTTTTATTTGGTTTCTTTTATAGTGCGTTTTTATTTTTGGGAATACCATGTCAACATAATCCTTTGTCATCTGCAATGATTTCTGGGATGATTTTCCAACAGTATGCTCAAGTTTTATTCCCCTGCCGTAAGGTGACACTGCCAAACTGTGCGACACGTGTGAATCTGTCCTTTTAAATGACCATGAGTCTAGTTTCTGATGAACACTGGTATGGGGAGTGGATGTCTATCTGTGGCCTGTGTTCCATGTTTTCGAACATTTGAAATTGAAGCACTAATGGCTCATTTCGATGTATTGTTGACGGGTGGTGTGTGTTTCTAAAAACAAATGGGTTGTACAGTAATTATCTATGGCAGTCCATAGTGTTACACCTACAGATGGATATTTGTGACATTTTGTAAAAATACTACATTATAGCAATCAATTTGGTTTGTATACAGTATGGAGCGTTTTATTATATGTTAGCATTTTACTCGTAACATAAAGT